AGGATTTTTATAAGTTAGTTTTTACAATTATAATAACTGTTGTTAAAAAATTTTTTATGAAAATGAGCTGCTATATAATTTATATTACAAATTTATTTGATATAGTGATGCTCACAGTTACATCCATCAAAATTATCTACATTATAAAGTGCCACTAACAAGCATCTTCTTTATATTTTTCAAATATAATGCACAGTACAATATATAGTACTATTACAATACTGCAGTTTTCTGATATATTACATATATAGTACGTTACATGTTTGTGACAGTTATACGATATACTAATAATTATTTACTTGAATATACATATAGTTACATAATTATTTACTAAATTATATTTAGATATTTACAAGATCTGCTTTTTCTTGTAAAGATTACTGTATTAGAAAATATAATATAATTATTGTGGTAAAAATTTTTGAATTGTATATTATTATGTTTTTGTGTGACATTATTGTTTTAAATACTGTTCAATATACTACACATGTACTAATTTTATAAAAAATATATAAAAATGATAAGTTATCATTTCATGCATCTTATAGTAAAATTTTTAAAATTTGTGTTGTGAATTCGTTGTACAAGTATGTTTTTATGGTAAAAATGTTGCTAATGGCGTCGTTGTTGTCAGTTCAATGAAAAAATTTCGGGATGAAATTCCTTAGCATATAGCCTATATGGACCGACACATGTTTCTTAGCGCAAACCCTGAATAACCAACCAGCAGTTTTTAACGCATCATCTATATTCCAAAAAGAATGGGCCGTAAAAAGGTTTTCAAACTGAAGATTATTAGACAAGAAATAAAAATAAGATTTCTTAAAATTATTTATTTTTTTACTGACTTATTTAGTTATTATGATTTGTTTATATATATCGATCGACTTTCAAAAATGGAACGTAAAATACTAAACATTTCTAAAAATGTTCTATTACTGTTTTCTGGCTTGCTTTCTTCATGTTTCTTTTTCTGAAGGCAAATGTTACTTCAAAAATGAACGTAAAAGTGAATTAGAAACATATTACCCATATTGGAACAATCTGCTGTCAAAGCGAAGTACAGTGGTGGCCTTGTCAGGTATAATAAATGATAATAATAGAAGTAATGTAACGTTTAGCCTATCAAGTTTGATTTAAAATCCTGCCCGAAGTAAGACAACAGCTTTAAAAAATTAAGCGTTGCTTATACTCCGTAGAGGCGCCGCACAATGCAATATCGATTGGACAACGAATAAGTAAAAGAGAAACTAAACTTATTTGTCCAATTTAGTACAAGGTACGAATTAACATTACTATTACTGATTAACCTATTTTATAAATCCCATCTAGTAAAATATGAAATTTAAATTTTGTAAACTTTAATTTAGTGGAGCTGTAGAAGTCGGGCTTCCCTATGACATTAAACACACCAAGTTTCCGGTGGCGCAAAAAGCTATGATCTCGTAGTTCCCGTATCTTTGATATGTACGTTAATTACCAAAAATAACCTAAGCGTGAAAAGGCGTCAATATCTAAATCAAAAATTTATGAAATTTTAAATGTTTGTGCTGCGTCACGGCGACGGTCGTTGGCTTGCGTAGACAGCGTAGACTCGTTCCTTGTCGGAAGTAAGGTATTTTTTTCTAAAATGCTTTATTTGTAGTGTATCAATCGATTTCCAGAAATGGAACGTAAAAAAAATTAAATTTAAATTTTGGTTTTTTCCGAATAATTTTCAATTTGTGAAAACTTATTCATATAGATCGGTTCAATAGCTATAATCATGTGGTATATAAAGCGTAGAAATGTTATATATAAAAAATTGAACGTAAAAGTTGAGACCAACAACTACCAAGGTTGTTAGCCCTTGATAACTGCGACAAGTCGCATTTTAAAACTTTCTAGCATAGCCACGGCAATTACCAACTTATCGTAAAATTACAAAATGTCCTTGTGTTGAAGTTAAAAAAAAATTAGACACCCACAGGTCAACGTTGTCATCAAAACCGCATACGCCAGTCAAGAAATGGAGCTTAGTCTAGTCGTATTCCTTACGGTTCCCACTCGTTTGTTGGGATTCTTGTAGAACAACAGCAGGCTTACCGTAGCGCTCACGCGGGCCCAGCTCCGTAAAAAAGGTCTTCAACCTGAAGATAATTAGATGAGGTTAAAAATGGGAGTTACTATATTTATTAATTATTATAATATTGCCTATATATGAACCTAGATTTTGAAAAATGGAACTGTTGTGACTGATCACAAAAAAAAATCGTATAGTTATAATCTTTTTACATAAAAAATCGTATCGCTTAAACAAGTTTTCATCTCGCGGGATTAAAAGTCCAAAAACTATACGATTATAATCTCGCGAGGAGGAAAAACTTGTTTTGTTTCATAAAGTTTACGCCCCTCTAAATCACTATAAATATCCGTACTTTACGGCGTTTCAAGTTCCCTAGTTTTTTTATTTTTTCATTGTTCTACTACTATTATATTTGTACTGTACTAAGCTAAATTCTACAATACAATTTGTATTAATTTGTATTATTTTATATTGTTGTACTATCAGCATAGAACGTAAAAAATTAAAATTCTAAAAATTTTGTTTTCTTTCCGAATAATTTTCTATTTGTGTACACTTATTCATATGATTCGGTTCAATAGCCATCTTGTGGTACATAAAGCTTAGAAAATGTTTTATATAAAACATTAACCGTAGAAGTTGAGACCAACAACTATCAGGGTTGTCAAAACTTATTAACTGCGACAAATTGCAATTTAAAACTTTCTAGCACGGCCAAGGCGATAACCAACTAATCGTAAAGTTACAAAATGTTCTTGTGTTGGATTACAAAAACAATTAGCAATTGAAGTAAACCGCTCTATTATAGTTTTTGACCAAGGACATTATAGGTCATTAGAGTAGACATAAGTAAATTCGACAAGAGGCACGTAATTTAAAATGTGACTTTTGCCAAAACTCAGCGTACAAAAAACTGGTATATTTCTCTCTTTTGACAGTATAAAAGAAAAAAGTGTTTGGATTTTTGTTTTTCGAAACATTAAGTTAACGTTGTAAGTAAGTTACACGTTTTTTTGTATTTTAAATAGCGAAGATGAATGCTATTTCAAAGTTGAACGAATTAGAAACGTACTACCCACGTATGTTTAATCTGCTATAAAAGAAAAATGTGGCGTAGAGTACAAAAACAATTAGATGTAAATTACAATTTATCAATATTACCTGGAGTTGGAAAAACTACGATCGTAGTTAAACTGTTTGTCTTATTCAGCCAAGGTGACAAACAAGTATTCGTTAAAGTGAAAAATTTTTTATGTTGGATACATTTTGATGTAAATTACGATTTATCAATATTAACTCCACCTGGAGTTGGAAAAACAACTATCGTAGTTAAATTGTTTGTCTTATTTGAAAGATATGTAGAAAGCCCATCAATCATTATCATAATTTTAAAACTTTCAATTTTAGACAAGGGGATAACCAATTGGTCGTAAAATTAAAAAATTTTCTTCTGTTGGAATACAAAAACGAATTAGATGTAAATTACAATTAATCTATATTAACTACACCTGGAGTTGGAAAAACAACTATCGTAGTTAAATCGTTTGTCTTATTTGAAATACATGTAAAAAACCCATCAATCATTATGAAAAGAGAAGTGCGATGGTGGCCTTGTCAGGTATAATAAATTAGAGTAATTGAACTAACGTAACGTTTAGCCTATCAAATTTGCGTAAAAATCCCGCCCGAAGTAAGACAACAGATTTGGAAAATGAAGCGCCGATAATACACCGTAGAGGTGCCGCACAATGCAATATCGATTAGACAAAAGATAAAAAAGAAATACTATATTTTATATTATCAAAACGCTTTGTGTGTGAAAACCACAGAAAAGAGTTGAGTACAAATTGGGACGTGCAAAAGTACAAACATGTCTTCCGGTTTAAAGATGGCAACAATGTTGTGATTGACCTCAAAAAGAATGAAGGCGTAAAGAAAACAGACGACAACTGGAGCGACTCAAACAAAAATTTAGTATATGAAAAAATTCTTAATGGTATTGTTGAATCGTACTACAGAGCCGACAATAGGCAAGAAAGACTGCAGATACTAAGTTTAATTACACCAATACTTCCACATACTGCCGTTACTAAACTTATTCCTGGATTGAGCAAGTACATTTACGTTCCTTCACGATTCTTAAGTCGTATGGCATTAAATATGCCAAGTTATCCAACGGGGCAGCCGTTGACACACCTAACACCTTGCGACTTCATCGTAGTTCCCGCATCGTTGACATGTACGATTACCTAAAAGAAACTAAGCGTGAAGACATGTTGAGATCCAAATCAACAATTTACAAAATTTTAAATGTGTGTGATGCGACGGTCGTTAGCTTGCGTTGATTCGTTTCTTGTCGACCTGAATGACGTAATTTATTTTTTACATAGTACCACTAAAACATCCACTTAGTACCACACATAAAGCAACATATATTAATTTATTGTAAAAACAGTGCCACTAACATGTTCACCTATTACTGTTATAGGCCATTTGGACAGAATATAAGTGAATTCAAAAAGTATAGTAACAAGTTTATTAGAACAAAGATAATAATAGTAACACTCGAATCGTAGAATATGAAGTTTACACTGCTGCTGACTGGTGATAACGCAGTCCTTTTATACCGTCTTGGGGGGTCAGGTTGAACTTGTTTCCTCACGTGACTAAAACTGGTTACATAGTACACTATAAATAGACATCGACTTTTCCCCAACAACCCACTTCTCGACCAAAATACAAATTGTCACATATGACAACAAAAAATGGACGGCTGTACGTCTCGCCGCAGCCTCGGATGTCAGCACGCAACGCAGTGCCGCGGACATCCTGTCTCAACTTGTGCGGCACGGATACCTAGCATTAAGCCGAGCTCTCATCAATTCTATTCTAACTTAATATTGTGCACTAATTGTTATTTAATCCTATGCGCGGCCTACGAGCCATTGGAATAACTTGACGTGGTTATACACCTCAAGGCCGCCTCCATACCCATAGTGGTTTTCGCTACTCGCGACGCGGATCCAACATTTCTGGCCTTGCTTGAAGGGCAGAAATGCCTTCCCGCACCACTCAAGACCACGGCGACTTGCGCATTAACCGCCCAACATCGCCGTGACTTCCTAGGTACGGCTTTATCCAGCAGTACCATGCACATTATACAAACAGTAGCTACATATTTGGGCCGTCCAGAAGCCCCCGCGTCACCAATGCGCATGTTCAAGGTGGACCCATCCGCCATCCCCGTGCTCTTCCTCCAAGAGAGATTTGGGCACCACAACATGGCCATCAACACAGAATATCTGCCAGATTCAAGAAATATTCTACTACGTTCGTTTGGTCCTCAAACCATCGAATCTAATCCTTTACTCATCGGGGGTATATGACACACTCTCGATGAACCTACAATTAGCCTGCAACAATTTATTGGTGCAGATGGTTCGGGCAACATGTGTAGGCTAAACCCGGCGTCCTCGAGACATTGGCTCTCTGAGCCGTATCTCTCGCAGGTACAAAGGAAATGGTTAACACAGTGTTTCGCACCACCGCGACTGGAAGATCCTTTCGCATCGGATTCGGACTCTGACAAGGACACCGACTCAGCCTGGGATTCGATGGAAAGTTAAGTTGGAGCTGCACGACTTCGTACGTATTCAGAACCCTAACCAACCGGCAATTACCAACAATAATCATCTATTACCACAATACCTTTAAAAATAATAAATTGTAAATACAGTCAGTCTACTCTATTCATCGAAAGTGTACGGCTTATTCGATATTGTTCACTATAAAAATTTAATTAAATAAATTGGTAAAGATATACACAAGTCAGAATAAGATTAATGGAACGAGGAAAGAAAATCCAAATGAGGACCTATATAAAGACGCGAATCTTCTGCAACCCGCCATTACATCAATCTATTGTGTCCACTATTAGTCAACAAGATATAGTAATCGTTTATTATAATACTGAATACAAAAATCGAACCCCTGAGGGGAAAAGTGCAAATAATGGAATCTGGATGTGCCACGCCTAAGACGAAAGGACAAAGAACAATAAAAGAAATCATATATAAGGACAGTACGATTTCCCCTCAGTGGTTCGGTTTTTGTATTCAGTATTATAATAAACGATTACTATACCTTGTTGACTAATAGTAGACACAATAAAAGCGTAATTAAAGTAAATTTTGCTTTATTTTATGTAGTAATATTTAACTTATTTAGAAATAGTAACTTAATATTTTAGTCTACATTAGTACAGCTATATTATTTATATTTTTTTCTTTCGTACAGTAGCTCTTACGCCCTTTTAGTTTCAATCCGAAAATTCCGTTTAGTGTAACTACAGAAAAACCACTTGATTAACAGTTAATAACTCTCTTATTACGATCATTAATTACTATGTTACTTCGCCGCAACAATGAAAAACAAACACATCTGATTCGCAACTTTTATGATTAATTATCTACTGTTTCTTTTGCCACGCACAGCACACTGCCCAGTTTTACTGTAAACTCACTATTACCCACCTGTAAAAACTCTAGCTAAACATATCGGTATCATGTATCATTATTTAAATAGAGTTAGGGCACATTCCTTTCATTCAACTTTAACATGTCTGCTTTTAGTTGTGGAAAATTCGCTAAAATTTTATTACCGATACTACTACCGGATATTGCACGTTGTAGCGTGCTTATTGTTAACGATGCTACACCGGCCACGAAGCTAAAGAGCTACGTGCCCTCGTATGCACAAATATTGTACATATCCTATCCGTCTTATTGGCTCAGCGTACACGATCGCATCAAATCGACAAACAAAGCGACCATCGTAGTGGCGGCGACTTAAGCCAGCCCGCTGCCACTGCTTCTTTCGCCACACACCATCCTACCTCCACCACAAGGCATTTTCACCATCAGTCCAATTGAGCCAGACCAGCGTCAAAAATTCTGCTCTCCGGCCCTGTCAGCTGAAGACGCCTCCGTCGTACACATTCGGATGACGGAGCTGGAGCCGCCCGCGCCTCAGATTCCGACCAAACGACGTATTTTTTGGCGGAAAATGAGCCGTGAGTGGCGCTCCAGCAGATAGTCGGGCCTCCATCACCTCCATCGGGAACCGTGTCCAACTATAGTGCACGCACACTTTTGGTTTCGTATACCTAAATTAATACAAAAATTACCGTTTACACCTTACCCAACTGGACGGTAACATCTGCTTCCACGGGGACACATTGGCAACTCCCCACAGCTATCCGTCACACTTCCATCCAATACCCACATCGAAGGTACCATGGCTGGCTCCAATAATTCTTCACAATAGACTTGGCCAACGATGAACAAAAACACACACAAAATTGATGACGTAACCCGAACGGAAAGGTTAATGTCATCGGAATGTGAACGGCGAGACATCGCCACGTGACGGAACTCACCGTTTCACAAATAAGGAGTCATCGTCACGCGACAGGAATCGCGTATTACAAATCACAACAAACCACGGGCAAAGAAACTATATAAGGGCCGCAGAAACTTAGTCTAATCGCTCCCCCCCCCTTACCGAATACTGCGAGTATTCATCGATCGCACACTGCGATATCACTACGAGTTTAAATTACATTGTTACCATTGTATAAAAGAATACCAAGTTGAATAAACAAGCTATAAGTTACATATCAGATATACAATCTAAATTGATCGACAATAAATTCCGCTCTCTCTTACTCCTTTAACATCCGTGCATCCGCTTAGGGGTCTTATGCGGGGCGGAATTTGTGTATTACACCGACTAGACTGCATATTTTCGGCCCAAAATGTTGACATGAGTGTACTTTACCAATTGGCACTACTGGGTGTTTATCAATACCGCGCTCACCTGGTTAACTGAGCAACACAAGATTTCTTACCTGAAGACCAGACAGCTGTGCTGCTCACGTCCGAGCCACCTACACCGCGTTCTCCACCGTCGCGCTGCTTTCTTTTGGACAACGACGAAACCGAAACCGCCGAACCGACATTTAAATAAAAATCTTAGAATTAGTTTATTTCAATAAAGCCTTATTTGAATCACACAGTAATCTAGTTTCAGTAAACAATTTACAATCAAATAACACAGCCTTATCAAGTTCAACATAATTCATTTTTTGGTAGGTTTCCGTCGATCCCTGATCTTTTTGTATGTTTTCTCTGTCTTCTCGCTGGTCTGCGTACTATCACTTGTGTGGGCTCTGGACAACTCTTTCTTGATGCCATCCTTGAACGTCTTCCCTGACTTGCCTGACTTCTCTCGGCTTCTCGACCTTGCGCCCTGACTCTTTTCCTTCTTACTGTCATTCGAGTCGGACGAGAACTCATTGGACCCTTTGGACATGTCGGATGAGAATTTAGTTTTTTCGGTCGAAAACTTTGGCTTCTCAAAGGCCGCCTTCATCTTCTCTGGCGAGGGTTTGGCCTTTTCGGGCGGTGCTACGGGCATTCTGGTGCTTTCCAGCTGTGGTGTGTAGGCCTTGCGTTCCCTTTCGGGTGCGAATGTGGGTATGGTCTTGTTGTCGCGATCTCCTTCCATTACATACGGTTTTAGCTGGACAAATGAGCACGACAGGTCTTCGGTGACCTTGAGGACGGCTGCTGCGTTATTGAATTGGCCACAGTAATGAGGGGCGGAGAAGATTGTCACTAGTTTTCGATTGGCGAAGAATTCAAATCTGAAAATTTTTTTCATTTTAGTTTAAAAACATTTTTTTTTCAAATTTCAAATTGTTTCTTACTGTAAATTTTTATTTTAAAATTAAAAAATTTAAAAAAAAAAATTTTTTTTTTGAAAAAAAATATTAACCCACCCATCCTGCACCACCTGGTGAGCCCTAACCACCATATCCAAGTCAAGAATTTGCAACATTTCATTCAAAGCATCTTCTCCAAAATAATAGCTAGCCCCACGACGGTTCGGGACAAATCCATTGATCCCAGCCAAAGGATCCGCCCACAGAACATCCATTTCCATTATTGGACCTACTGGTTCTAATGGTCGTTTTAGGTTTCGCAGCTAAAATTTTAATGTTGAGAACAAGTTTTTAGCTTATAGCCCACCCTACCCTACGTTACCCTACCCTAGCCTACCCACCCCTACCCTACCTGATCCAAATTCTTCAACATAGGAGAGATCCCACCGTGCATACACAAGATCTTGTCGCCCACCAGACCACAGAAGGGCATGAACATAAAAGTGTCCGAATAAACATTATACAATTCTTCTGAATATCGCCTCAGGCATTCCTCGTAGAACCCATAGACTTGGTTTACTGGTCGAGTTTCGTGATTACCGCGCAGTAAAAACACCGACTCTGGGTATTTGATTTTGTAGCAAAACAGAAGACTGACCGTTTCGATACTGCTCGGACCTCGGTCTACGTAATCGCCTGGAAATGGTGTGATTAATATAAGTTTTAGGTATGTTTTTACATTTTTTTCTAAAAATTTTGCTATTAAAGTGTAAAGTATAGTCTCTGTATTAGTTTAGAATTAAAAAAATAAGTTTTGACAAAGTGCCACAAAAAATATTGGAAAAAATCACAAAATGTCGCATTTTTTATCAAAAATTGTTAGAAATTTCTACCGAATCCTATCCGAACTTTTTAACTCTGCACGTAGCAAAAATGTTTAAAATGCTAAACTTACCTAAAAACAGATAATTCGTTTCAGGAGGAAAGCCACATTTATTAAACAACCGCAGTAAGTCGCCATATTGTCCATGCAAATCGCCGCAAATATTGACCGGTCCATTCAGCTCGACCAGACTGCCTTGTTCATTGAATATCTAAAAATATTTTGATTAAACATCTAAAAAAATTACGTTTTTTAACATTCGAACATGTGGGCCGGGTACTAAACCATGTGTCCCCAGCTTAGGTCCTGCAACGAAAGACTTGACTACACCCAAAAAGCAGCCTACTAGAACCAGCCCCAGGCTAGGCCAAAGCAAGCAAATTTTTAAAGTTAGGGGCACAAAATTATTTGAACAACTTAGGTATAACAATATAATATTCATCATTACCTCCGAGACCACTAAAGCAATTTTGGTCAAATTTTCTTCGGTGACAATCTTAGTCAGACCTGTTAACGGCGTCCCTGAACATAGTAGATGACACATCAATTTGTCCAGTTCTGAATCCGAAAACTTTTCCATTTTATCCATCTTCAACCCTCTTTTGGTTTGTGTACAAAAAATAATGATTTTTTTCAATTTTTTGAAATATAAAATTTTTTTGGAATTTTAAAATTATTATGTTGTTCAAAAAATTCTGTGCCCAACTTTTAGAATTGGGAAGCACATAATTATTATGCTATCTTATGATATTCAAAATTTTATATTATGTTAAAGTAGATAACTGTACTTCTTTCAAACTGTCAACAAAAGTCTTGTCGTTTTTTAACCTATAAAACATTACAATCCAGCGTCAAGACTTTTTCCCCCCTAATATGCCATTTTGTAGTAAATATCAAGTTGTTCAAATAATACTGTGCCCCTGTCAAAGCAAATTTTCGGAGTTAGGAGCACAAAATTATTTAATATATTCAACCTAATAGAAGCTGGATACATGTTACTCATGTTATGTTTCTTTATCCTACTCTACTCTATCCTATTCTACCCGACCCTATCCTACTTACTTTAGCCTACTCGACTCTACCCTGTGATCATATTTTTAAAATACGACATTCTGCTAAAATAAACTCAAAAAATCTTCACCTTGATGTAAAATACAAATTTTCAAGTTTATTTTTAACAAAATTTTAAAAAAATAAAAATCTAATTGACATTTATTGTTTGCTCACAACTATTGGACCTCCTCCTACTTGGCTGTAGAAGATGTTCTTCAATGGAAGATCTTGTTTTTCAGTGTTTGAAGTTGTCAGCTTACCAATAGCTGAAAGAATATTTGTTTTTTATGCTTTCATTTGATAAATAATGGCATTTATATTGTGACAGAAGCCGCTAGACAATCAAAATTTTAAAAAATTTCAAATTTTTCGGCATTTTTTCAAAAATTGTAGCTAATTTTTTGAAGATTAGGTATCAAAACAATGTAAAATACAATTTTTCTAACAAAACATTTTAATTTAGCTCTTATTTTTCATTAATTAAACCTAAAAGAGATATATCTAAGCCTAAAATGTTCCATTTCGATACCTTTGACTACCTTCTTCCCCAAAAAAACTTACATTGAGGAAGCAAGGCATGATCAAATTCGAATTTATCAGCAAATGCCTGAAGAAATGGCTTTACATCTTTCTCCTGGATGAAGACACAACAGTTTGGTCCTGCATCAAAAGTATAGGCGGCTGCCAGACGTCCAATCTTATTGTTATAGCCACAAATAAAGTTGATCAGGGCTCGAGATCGGTCGTTTAAGTACTGAAAAGTAAAAATTGTGGATACTAAACAGTAAAATGGCATTTCTATCATGATATAATAATAATGACACTTAAAAAAAGATTTCTGATAATAACTTTTGGCCAACATCATCGCCAAACACCGTATTTTACATTATAAACTGACCCTGATACTTAGAGCTAGTGATACTGAAGAGTTTGATACTGACAATAATAAACATATTAAGCTTACCAAGATTGGTGGGAATGTGTCCAAGCACACGGCATGAAGTTGATTGCTTTCTTGAATGATTACCCTGCCCAGAGCTTCAAAGTCAGACGCTGCTACAGCTTTTTTCAAGCTGAAAAGCAAAAACGTTTAAAATTTTACCAGTAAAAAATCGCAATTTTTAAGTTAGAAACAGTCAAAAAAGCTGTTTTTTCCAAGAAAACCCACCAAAAACAGCCAAAATAATAATAAATATACCTAAAAACGCAAGTAAAACCGTTTTACTTTAACTCGGAGAGTAAAAACTTACTCTTCAACATGTTGAGGAACAACTTTGTCAACTCTGTGACCAAACAAACTCGATGTTTCAATCGTTTTCTGCATTCCATCAGTGCTGGGAACGTCTTTTTCACTGTTCTTTTGCTCAAAAACTACAGCCCTTACTGTTTTCCAGAATTCTGGCGATGGAATTACCTGAAACAACAAGAATTAACCAATTTTTTATATTTAAAAGTTTTAACTTTTTGAATTTTTAATTAAAATTTTTTGTTTTAGCCCATATCTTTACAAATTTTAAAATTTAAAGAAATTTCCATCTGATGGGTATCATAATATAGTTAGAGCGTTAGAGCGCGTTGTGCCAAACGTATAGTATTATAAGCAAGGAACAGTAAATGGAAGATCATAATATTCTCCAACTTTCAAACCAAATTTTCAAGCAAAAATCTTTCACTTACATCACAGGTGCTCTCTTCATCTGTGTCAACCTTAGTACCAGCGTGCCAATGAACGAATCCCTTCAAAACACTGCGACAAGCCGATCCAGAGCCAAGTCTAGCCAACCTTACAGTCTGGTCCTGGCTCAGATTACCCAATTGTCCTAAAGCAAAGGCAATGGCAGCAAAGCCAGCAGCAGAAGAAGCCAAACCAGCAGCCACAGTGAAGTTGGTACGACTTTCCACGTGAATCTTGATGTTTGGCTGATTTACTGTCCTTCGATACTCCTAAAAATTATAAAAAAATGAAACAAAAATTACTTACGTTAAAAACGTTGTGAAACCGAGGCTTCGCAGTTAAATCTGTAGATTTGCCATTGATCGAAACGGAATCTTGTCCATCTGTTGTGAAGTAGACTGTCGTTTCGGCGTACAAATCGTCAATTGCCAAAGAAACTGAGTCGTTACATGGTATAATCAGCTTCTGAAAACAATAATCTTACTCCGCGTGTTATAAAATAATGGCATCTGGCCTCATATTTTGCAAAAACATAAATATATTATGTTATAGCTCCCCAAATCCAAAAAAAAATATTTTTTATATCTTAAAAAACTTAAGTTAAGCCCTAAAACAACTCAAAACACACCTCATTCTTCTTGCCCCAGTACTTGATCAACGCAATGTTGATCGGAACTCGGACCGTAACTTTTGAGACCATTTTTCAACGAGAAGATCAACACAAGACTGAGGAAACAATCTACTACAACTTGTTAAAAGCACATTCAAAACATACAATTAAAGCGATGGGCGGAACGCGTACATTGTTACCAGTTGTGGATACGGTTTTGGAAGGAAAACTTATCAAAAACGAGAGAAAAATAATTTTCTTTTGGTTAATTTGGGCGCGCAACGGAAATTTTTGAGAGTGCGGACTGCGAAACACTGGTTATACGGCGAACAAAAAGCTGTCAACTAAAATTTATGGGTCTTTCAGGGAATATAAACACTCTTTTTAGTAATTTAAGTTGATTTGTATTTAGTTTTAAAACTTTAAGCCTTTTGTTTTTAAGAAACACTAAGTAACTTCTAAAGTTCAGAAATTGGAGATAAGGTACAGTAAAAGTACTGTAACTTTGTAACTACCATGAATTTAAAAACGCGGTTTAATTTATTAGTTGCCAAATTAAATAAGCTACAAACGGTCAAAAACTGGTAATGTTTACTGTTGTTTAAAAAAAGTTACGACCATAAGAAGGAGTCATGTCAGTGCAACTTGTTCGTAGTGCGTAGGGTTTCCTTGCTTGAGGTGACTATGATGCTTGTATTGCCTATTTAACTTTTGATCAATAAAAATGATTTTTTGCTTTATTTTTTTCGAAAAATTGTTCAAAATTTCACATTATCTTATCCATCTGAAGTGATTCAAAATTATCTTATCCATCCGAGGTAATCTGATATTATCGTATCCAAGTTTCGTTACTTTTTGTTATTGTCTGTTCAGTATAATGACTAACTCCGCAAATGAGTTGCATTATTTGACTAGCCGGCCACTTTCGGAACTTTTAAGCGACGTTGAACCAAAAAGCGGTTTTTTTGCTCGTTTAACGTCGAATGGCTCGCGATGAACGTTCTCCACTTGTCACTCTTTGTAACAATAAGTAAGCGTTCCGGAGGCAATAAGCAAAAGTTTAGGTTGTGCGTTGCACTGTCCGCGGAATGTGCCTTATTTCTCCACCGTTCAGTGCATTCCGAATCCGAGTTTGAGTCAGGCACGATGTCCTAGTGGCTACAGATGTCGGCCGGCCAGGGAGGAGTTCTCGGCCACGGATTTGTACTTTATCTGTTGTGACTCTAGTGATATGCAAGTGGCTGATTGTAGGTTGTTGATTGTTTTTTGGTGTTAGGGATGGTATTATAGAAAACGTATTTTACTAGTCTTAAATTGAATTTTCAGCTATGAAATTTGAGATTTTGTGGTAAAAATGAATTTTTTTAAAATTTTGTTTTTTTTTGGTAGTGAATATAATATAAAACACCTTGAAATCAGATGTTGTTGTAGCTGTATTAGGCTAAAAACTGGAACATTTATAGAACAAAATTTGCTCTATCTATACCTAAAATATTTTTCATTTTGATTGCCGTTAAGTTGGTCAAAAAGTGCGTAGAACAAGCTGTGTCTCGACTCAAAAGACGTTCATTGCTAGTTTTAGCTTTATCTTTTAAAAATTTAAATTTACGTTTAAAAAATATGTAAATTAATTAAATTAATAATATATTCTTCGTATTTTACCTCCCAAATTTTAGACTTTCTAGAAGCCCAATTGTCTCCAGAATACGTACCGCAAATCCCATTTACTCTGCTCCGGTCGATAGTTCTACTAGATCAGAAGAGCGGCCAAAGAGTGATTGTTGAAGAGTTTGATGGTGAGGTTTCTGGAGTCGATCGTGTCCCAAATGACACTGCCAGCTATGATCGACTGGATTTTGTGCAATTTGAGAGGGAAATCGACCCGAATGCTGGTCGATTCTTGCATTTTTTGTTGGCTAGAGGTAAAATACGTGAATGATTTTTATTTTGGTTTTTTTGGGGGATATGATACATGGTTTTGATGTAAAATACGATATTTTTTGTGTTCAGTACTTTTTTAAATATTTTTTTTGAAAATTAAAATTTCGAAATTTAAAATTTTTTTTAAATTTCCGGTTATCATGGTTAATATTTTAGGCGTAGTAACGAGACCAACCCAGATTCAGATGTATTATGATTACCCAAATTTTGGTCAGGAATGGAGTAACATAACCGAGCTTGATCAAAGGCTGCGACGGGGTTTTATTGAGTATACCACTAATGAAACTGTACCTAAACAAGCTTTTTGTAAGTCTTACAGTAGGGTATGGTAGGACAGAGAATTGGGTAGGGTAGAGTAGGGTAGGGTAATGTAGGGTAGGGTAAGGTAGGGTAGGGTAGGGTAGGGTAGGGCAGGGTAGGGTAGGGTAGGGTAGGGTAGGGTAGGGTAGGGTAGGGTAGGGTAGGGTAGGGTAGGGTAGGGTAGGGTAGGGTAGGGTAAGATAGGGTAGGGTAGGGTAGGGTAGGGTAAGATAGGGTAGGGTAGGGTACGGTACGGTAGGGTAAGGATATGATATGATAAGAACGGCAGAAAATAATGTGGTAAAAGGAATGGTAAAATACGATCAAACCATTTTTTTTAGACCGCGACATGTTTGTAGTACTATCATTTCGTACTGAGCAGCCTCTGGGAGCATCTCGAGATGCTGAGACCCAGCTTGATAAAGTCTTGGAGACCACAAATGGAGATTTGAGTAGACTTTTAAGTCATGAACACTTTGGCAGCCGGCTGGGAGCTCCAATCGGTGGCTACTTTTTTCATGTGAGTTTTGAATGTTCTTATCAGGTATTATCAGCGATAAAAGTTTTAGCTGTAAAAACAACAAAAAATTTTGATTTTATAGGACAAGGTTGGGTTACAGAAGCGCTAGGGTAAAGAATGAGTAAAATAGTGTAGCCAGAAAAGGGTAGGGTGAAAAAGGGTGTAATATTGTTATTTTAGTTAACCAGCCGTGGAACGGTATTCAAATCTCTGCAAGACGATAATGATATTAACTTTGCTTTTAATGCACAGTTAAACACTTTTGTAGCGATGATGGTACTTTTGCTGTTGTTAATGTAAATTGTTAATTTTATAGTTGTCTTTGGCTTAATTTTATTTGGATATATTTATTTGACTTCACTCATATATTTTGATTACGTAAACTGTTTGTTTGTATATAAAATAAAGATACTCTGTTCGTAACCATGCCAACAAATGATATTTGCTTTATTTGTCTTTGTTCATATTAATGTAAATCTAGATACATGGAGGCACTCCTGCTTTAATCATTTTTCAAACTTTTTAAGAATGAGAGACAGGCCGGCCTTAAGATAAAGTTGAAAAGTATACATGAAGAACGGGCCGGGCCTAACCCAAATTCAAGTGGGGCCTGAGCAAAATTTTGATACAGTCTGGTTTGAAAATTAGGTCCGTCCTGTTCCTCATGTCTATTGAAACAAGACGAGTTTAATTTTGAAATTTTTAAAAAACGGACCGGGCTAGGCCGGGCCTGAAATCTCTTTACCGGGCCGGTCTGAGAAAAAATGAAAACGGCCTGGGACTAAACGTTGGGTCTCAAAAGATTCTTACCTCTTTTTTTATTATAAGCCCTCCATCCTCCTCCCCTCCCCCCAATGACTTTTTTTAAAATATTCTTGCCAATAATAACAATGCTGAAGAAATAATAGTACCGCCAAACCCTCCAGTACGGTTTAAATTTCAATTTTATTGAGATGTCAGTATAAATATTACAATTTGAGCGGCGAAATTGAATATTATTACGGCTAAATACAACACTACTACGAACATGATTGACAATATAGACAATGTAAAACCAAAAAAATAAAAAAAAGAGTATTCGAATACCGGTCGAGACAGTATCTGAGTGGTGGAAGGCACGTGACGCATGTTATAGTAGGTATATCTCTATATGGTGGGAAATGGCACAAATACGTTACTCGTACTACTGTTCGTATTACTGTAGTGATTGGTACTGTAATTTCAAAATTACCGTAAATCTTACTGTAATTTTAAAGCTACCGTAGTCCTTACAGTAATTTCGGAACTACCGTAATCTTAACAGTAATTTCAAAACTACCGTAGTCTTTACAGTAATCTCGGAATTACTGTAATAATTTTACAGTAAGACCAAAAATGACACCAAAAACTACAGTAATACGCGAAGTTAAGCTACAGTAAGCTACAAATGAGTTTGCAGTAAAATATGGCTAAATACTGTAGCTTCAAGCTAGAAACGTGTTCACTACAGTAATCAGGCTACATCAAACTACAGTAATCGTAGAAGAACATAAAGTGACTTTAGAAGAAAATACAGTAACCTTGAAAGAAGGTAAAGTAAATATGTCTTTTAGACGAGAATACAGTAAGAAAATACGATAAGAATAATTTTAAATAAAAATACAGTAAGATACAGTAGGAAACTAAAAAAGGTTTTTAAACAAAATACAGTAAGATACAGTAAACTTAGAACAAAATACAGTATATTTTGGACAAAATAAGGCTTTTACAGTACAAAATAAGCGACTACAATTAGATGACAAGCATAAATAATGTGCAAAACACGACTATAACACCAATGTTACTGGTCGTATGTTGAGTTACTCCGAATCGAGGCCAACTCTTGGCCTACAGATGCTGATTTCGCGGATCGTGGCTTGAGCCATACCTCCTAGTAAGACCTCCGGGCAAGATACGAAGACAAAGTTCTGGTTTTCAAACTTTTCGCACAACGAGCGGACCTAAAATAGTTTATATTAGCTTAGGTATGGAGTTGTTATAGACTACACCATCCTACTCTGCCATACATTACCATACTCTACAATAAACAAACCTACCCAACTCTGCCCTACTCTACCCTACCCTACCTTACTTTACCTTACATTACCCTAGTCTATCCTATCCTACCTTACCCTACCTAATGCAATCATAGCTATCGTATTCTACTTTACTATACCTCAAGAGACCCATACAGACACTGCTCTACCTTACCCTTCTTTACATTACCATGCCATACCTTACCTTATCTTAACTTACCCTACCTCACCATACCCTACCTAATGCCTGCCCCCCCCTATTCTACCGTAGCTACCCTATTCCTCCATACCCTACCAGCCCCATACTAAACCAAAGTCAACCCCCCCCACCCTCCAAAAAAACTTACCGTATTCTGTAGACTACCATCAGTAGTTACCCATACAGTAAAGACGCCAGTCGGATTCTTTTTCAAACAAGCTTCAAGCATTGGCAGGTCTGTCATCGAGTCGCCACAAACCAAGATTGAGCCATTAGTCAGGTCTAGTTTGGCCTGTTTCACCAGCAGTTCAATACCATCTCCTTTGTCGAAGATCTCGCCGGTTTCCGACTTCAGGAAGATCTTCAGGTCAGTCTCGGTTTCGATCATCGACAAGGAGTTAGATTGAGGGTCAATTTTGGCGACGATTTCACGAATCTTTTTGTCTCTAAAAAGGTGGTACTGTAAGGTTTGAGCTTGACATTGCTAGTGGCAGTAGTACTTCACGTACCACAATCTCCCCCCCCTCCAGTAGACATCAGACACGAGGCCTTTTTTAAAGCCCGGCCAGACCTAAATTTGGGTCGAGGCCGGCCCGTTCCTCATATCTACCCCCTAGTTAAATCCGGTACTATCCCATTTAAAAAAAACTTACAATTGCTTGACCTTCTCGTCCTTAACACTGCCAAACGCATCTTGATGAGCGACAGTCAGATGCCCATAGTGTTTCTGAAGGCCACTTCCGACCCACGTAAAGTGTTTATAATCCGGTTCCTCCAAAAAGTCAGCGATGGCATTGAAAACACTGTCCAGAAGCTCCAGATCGACTTCGGGAATCGACTGATCCTTGAACTTTGTCGCCGGGTCGATGAACCATTCTCGACCGGCCGACGCACCAAAGTAGTAGTAGCCTTCAGGGATGGTGCTCACGTCCAGTACGCCAATTCGCATCATTGGTGCTGTCGTGACGATGGCACAGGTTTGGGCACATCTTCTCGCGAACTGGGCTTGGATTACGCCGGAGTAGGCGGGCTGGACTGAGGCTGGATAGGAGCAGGAGTAGGACTTGAGGGTACCATCTCTGTCAGTGAAGAAAAAGTTGAAATGGTCGGCGTCGGTGAAGAGATCGACTACTGCCATCACTTCGTCGCGGAATTTGTCCGTCGATACTGGATGGTACTCTTGCAGAGACTAAAATGAGAGAATTTGCTTTGAAAAGGGGCTCTGAATTATTTGAACAAACTAAGATTAATATAACTGTATCATAAAATTAGATACAAAAGAAAGAAAAAAGTCTTGTCGTAAATTTACATTACTTTCAACGTTAAAAAACGACAAGACGTTTTTAATCCCTTAAACAGGCAATTTTTTCAAAATTAAAAATAAAAAAAAATCAATGTTCAGCCATTTTAAACCAAAACTCACGTTGATGAACTGTTCCACATTGTAAACATCGTCACTTTGGACAAATTTCAAAAAGTTCAAGTCCTTTTCGAACTCGTCCAACTCTGTTTTAATGTCGAATCGTGCCATTTGTGAGTTGTCTTCCACTGCCAGATCACTGCTCGGCTTTAGGAGAATCGTCTTTGTGTTGTGTTCACATGCTTGGAGTAAGGATTCCTATAAAAATTTTTTATTAATTTAGTTTTGACACCTAAAAAAACATAGAATTTTAATACCTAAAATGTTTTTTAAAAACCGTTTTTTATGCCTAAAATAGCAAGCAAAGCCCGTTTTAATACCTGAAATCTCAGAAAAAAGTATTCTTTGACACTTAAAGCTTAGAAAAAGCTGGTTTTTATACCTAAATCACCAAAAAAAAACATTTTGGTACCTAAAATCTCAAAAAAATTGTTTTTTATACCTAAAATAGCAAAAAAGTTTAAAAAATTAAATTTTTGTACCTAAACAGCAAAAAAAAACGTATTTTAATACCTAAAATAGCAAAAAAAGCAAGTTTTAATACCTAAAATAGCAAAACATATGCATTTTGATATCTAAAACCGCAAAAAAGTCATTTTTTATCCTTAAAAATGCCTTGAAGTACAATATTTCATCTTTTTAAACTCATTTTTCACACTTAAAATACTAAAAATCTAAAACAAATCCATTTCAATACCTAAAATCACAAAAAAAATCATGTGGTATACATACAACAACAACAAATTATACCTAAAGCAACAATCTATACCTAAAACAACATCAATACTCTCCCCTTACCTTTGCATTATTCAAACTGATGCCAAAATGACTTCGGATGGGAATTCCCTTCAACACTCTCTCCACGATCTGTCTTCTCACATCCCTCGACCTCATCATCAATGTGTAGAAGTCATCGAGAGTCTGAACCTCGCTTTGTCTTATCACAAGATGACTCCATCCTGGGTCCAAGAAGGCCGCTGACCATCGTTCAATGTCGTTATTCATGATGAATTCGTGTAGTCGTTTACCGTGTGTGGCTCTGGTCTCGGTGGTCTCAGTCGCCGCTGCGTATAGTATGTCAGCGTAGCGTTCGGCATCATTCAGGTCATCTACACGATGATAGGCTTGATCTCCGTCTTCCATTAGCCCTGCCATTGTGAATTGGATTTCGGAGCCGGCTCCGGTTGATAGAACCAAGCCGCCGGCCGGGTTACAGACCATCATTTCCTTAGCCACGAGGTTCATGCCATCTTTGCGTGGTGTAACTACTCCAATGTCCATAGCGAGGTAATGACTGACCAGATCGACACGTTGAAGACCGTCAGTTCGGAATATCAAAGGCTTCCAATCTGGGTAGTCGTCTGATTTGAAGTTCTTGATAATTTCCTCGGCCAACTCGATGCATTCATCTTGATATACACGGTAGGTGTCGACGGAACGGCGGTTTGTTACTGCTACCTAAAAAGAAACAAATTTTTAATTTTAAAATCCATTTTGAAAATTTTGTTCTATATTTCAACTTTCTATCATAAAATAAAAAAAAATTTTCAACATTTCGAAAAAAATTAAAAATTAAAAAAAAAATTTTTTTCTCGAAATTTCAAAATTTTTCAAAACTCCAAAAAAATGCCATTCCAAACCACTACCCACCTGATACAGGCAATCCTTGCCGATTCTGTCTGGATACTTTTCGAAATACCTCTTGTAGGCCTTCAGTTTCTCACGAATACCCTTGGTGTAGTCGAATCTTTCGACCGAAAAGAATAGTCTCGAGTCTTCTGATGGGTTCTCACCAAATATCTGAAACAAATTGTGTTTATATTGATGTAAAAAGGCTAATAAAACTTTTTTTTCACAATTTTAAGTGTGAATTCAAAAAAAGTTGTTGATAATGAGATAAATTCAATTTTTTAAATTTTTAGGTAAAAAATTTTAAAAAACTAGCCAAAATCAAGTTTAAAACAGCAAAAAATGCCTCAAAAATACTGAAAAACAAAAAATTCAAAAATAGCCAAAAATACGGTAATTATCATCAAAAAATAGCTAAAACACCTCCAAATCAAAGTTCCCAAATTTAAAATATACGGCATCCGCTGCAACTTCTTTTCAATTTAGGATCTGATTCGGCTCCAGGCTAGCAGTTAGAGCCCATGAATCAAAAAAGTACTAAAGTTCGACATTTTTTGGCTTTGCCTTTCTAAAAATTCTTGCCTCAGCTCCAGAACTACTCCTAGAAATGAGAAACAGACCGTGTAAGCCCGGTTCTATAATCGGGTCAACTCGGCCTTGAGGTAAAGTTGAAACGAACTGGGCTTGAAAGTTAGGCCCAAAGCCACATTTTTAAAAATTTTTTAAATTTTCAAAATTTTCTTTAGCTGTACCGGCCTGAGAAAACATAAAATCAAGCCATGCCTAAACGTTAGACCCCAAGCCTAAACCAAACCTCAAAAGTGAGCCAGACCCGCTTTTCACACCAATCTGCCCCAAAGCCCCTACTCAAATCAAGACCAACCCCCGTTCTTACCCCCTTCCTGATGTCGTTGGCCCTCTTCACGGTCTCCGGATCCTTGGCCACTTTCAAAAAGTCCTCGTTCTTAATACTGACCGGGAACACTCCCAACGAGCAGCTCCAGCCTTGGTATGTCACCACATGAATATCGAGGTTGGCATCAAAGTTGATTTTGACAGTTTGAAGATGCTTCTGAATCAGCTCCAGGAACTTGGCACGATCACGATGAGTTTGGAATCCGACCTGAAAATTTGAATTTTTAAATAATATAGACAGAAACAAAGTCGTATTTTACAAAAATCACAAACAAACATCGTATTTTTCGTTTTAAGCTACATCTACTATAATATATACATCCAGGTCGTCGCAGTGCTTCTGAATTGTTTAAAAACTTCTGAGCCCCATAACCCGAAAAATTTGCTTTGAAAGAAGCTCAGAATTTCTTGAACAACCTGATATCAAAAAAACAAAGTGGCTCAGAATTATTTGAACAACCTAATATCGAAAAACCAAGGAGCTCAGAATTACTTGAGCAACCTATATAATATCAAAAAACAAAAGGCTCAAAATTAGTTGAACAAATTAATATCAAAACCAAGAGGCTCAGAATTAATTAAACAACCTAATACCAAAAAACATAGGAGCTCAGAATTAATTGAACTACTTAATATCAAAATACAAGAGAGCTCAGAATTATTTGAACAACCAAATATCAAAAAGCAAAGAAGCTCAGAATTATTTGAACAACCAAATATCAAAAAGCAAAGAAGCTCAGAATTTTTTGAACAATCTAATATTAAAAAACATGGGAGGCCAGAATTATTTGAACAACCAAGTATCAAAAAACAACGAAGCTCAGAATTATGTGAACATCCCAATATCAAAAAAAAAACAGAGCTCACACTTTTTTGAACAACCTAATAGTAGCTACTAATCTTAAAACCAGCCCTCCCCTTGCTTATACGTCCATATTATAGTAGATACCACACAACCTTACCTTAGTGAATCTCAAAAGACCTCTCAGAATAGGAAAGGCGCAGATTCTGTGTTTGGTGAAGAAGTTCTCTGGAGGCAGGAATGGGATGTGTAGGAAGAAGCCCACTTCAAGGTTCTGATCCAAACTTTGCATGATCATACCGGTCAACATTAAATGGTAGTCGTGGATCCAGATAAAGTCCTGAAATGTAGGGACATAAAATATTTTTTTTAAATTAAATTTTAGTTATAAAAGTAATTTTTAGCCTTAGAATCAATTTTCAAACGCTGCCTCTGCCTGAAAATTACTTTTTTGATCTACCCCTGCCAAAAAAAACTTTTTTAAATCTAATCCTTTCCAAAGACTTGGTTTTTTGCTTGAACTGCCTAACAAGTTACTCTTTTTTAAATCTACTCTTGCCAAAAAAACCATTTTTTATCTACCCTCCCTAAAACTCTACTTTATTACTCTACCCCTGCCTAAAAAAATTATTTTTTAGTCTACCCTTACCTGAAAAATGAATTTTTAAAAACTGTCCTTTCCTAAAAACTTACTGTTTTTAACCCACTCCTGCCTAAAGACTAGCTTTTTTAACCTGCCCCTACATAAAAAAGTCGTTTCTCAGCGTAACTTCAACTAAAAAACTCATTTTTAAATCTACCCCGCCACAAAATTACGTTTTTATACCTATTCCTGCCTAAAACATTCTTTACTTACATTTATGGTGTGTTAATCCACCCCTATCTAAAAATTAATACATTTTTGTATCTATCCTGCCTAAAAATCCATTTCTAAGCCTGCCTAAAAAATACTTTTCTCATACCCATGCCTTATAAATGTCTTTTCTAATATGCCACTGCCTAAAAAATTACTTTTTTCGCTTACCCATGCCTAAAAAATACATTTCTTAAACCCACCCTTGCCTAAGAATTACTTTTTTTCAACTTACCCTACTTAAAAAATTCTTTTTTTAGTCCACCCTTGTCTAAAAAATTACTTTTTAAATCAAACCCGGTCTAAAAATCGGCTTTATGGTTTGTCCCTGCCTAAAAAATTGGTTTTTTTAACCTACTCCGGCCCAAAAAATATTTTTTCTCAAACATACCCCGCCTAAAAATTACTTTTTTAATATACCCCTGCCTCAAAAAACAATTTTTAAAAACCAGCCCTTCCTAAAAAATACTGTTTTACTCTACCCCAGCTTAAAAAATCTTTACTCTACCCTCCCAAAAAATCCACACCTTTACTCTATCTACCCTACCCAAAAAATCACGTCTACCCACCTGAGGTCTGCTGTTTCGAACCGCATCGATAGCAAATTGATAGTTGACTCTGACATACGAGCACCAGTGCTCTCTCAGCACAGCTGGGTCGTCGTAGTCGGCTGCTATATACTCTGGCAAATTATGTAATGCGGGCCACAGTAATCCGTTACTAATACCACCGTAGTATACGTTGTAATCTTGTTCTTGGACTATGACTGGGTTCAGCTTGTAGTTGCCCTTGTTGTAGTTGTTCAGTACACCTAACAATGACATTTCTTCCCTGGAAATTTTAAAAACTCAGTAAATTGTTATAATTAAGGTTATCAAAGTTACTGTAAGTTAAACTAAGTTATTGAATTAGGTTGTTCAAATAATTCTGAGCCATCTAACCCTGAAAATTTGGTTTGATAGTAGCGCAGGCTTTTCTGAACAAAATGAGAAGAAGCTCAGAATTATTTGAACAACCGAATAGTTATAAAATTAGTTGAAAAAATATTTTTAAATTTAAAAATATTATTTTAGGTATTAAAAAAGCTATTTTCAATTAAAAAAAATCATTTTAGATTTAAAAAACGGCATTAAGGCTTGCATTTTGGACAGTTTTCTTCGGACAAAACAGACAATTTTAGACAAAACAACAAGGTTTTTCAGTGTTATACATGACATTTTAGGCATGAAATAAAACAGTCTATTTTTCAACATATTTAAAAAAATATATATAAAACAATCTCATGTATAACACTGTCAAATAGCACAAATAAGGTGTTAGTACAACATGAAACAAGTAAAACTTTACAAAATACTATTACTTCCTTAAAAAAGTCATTTTTCATCCATATATTCACCAAATTTCAAAGAAAACCCTTTAAAAATTCAAAAACTAGGTATAAAAAACAATATTTTAGCCAAGACTTTCCAACACAACAAGTTTGTTCACTTATTGTACCTCAAACCACTGCTGTTAGTACATTCTCACACTATGAAAATGTCAAAAAAAATGTGAGTTGTTTTCTATTGTTCATACAATTTCAACATTAAAATCTAAATCCATACTCAACCAAGCAATATCTACTGTTACTACGAACAAACCAAACAAAATTCACTACCGCACAAACACATACTTACAATGGAACTCATGTATAAAAAACTCCCCTATAACGAAATTTCTGTATAACTAACAACTTTTAAAATCCCTGGCTACTACTACACAGTGCATTAAAAACCCCTCTATAATAAAACTTCTTTATAACAAACACACTTCAAATACCCGAGCGATTCGTTATACATCAGTTCCACTGTATATAACTATAGGTGAGAAACTACCAAAAACTAAAGTTTAAACACCGCCAGGCTTACTGTTAGACTCAAGGCAGGGCCAGAGCACAAAGCAAACGTCCCCGTCTTGTGTTCAAGCCTAACACAGCCCTTATAACATTAATAAAAGTCATGCTGTTTCTTACCAAAACTAAAGGTCAAGTCGTTTCTCACCACAACATACCACTACTACAACATAGTTACGACAATAAGTTGTTGTATAAAAAATATGCCGTATTTTACTGTTTTTTAGTAAAAAAAGTAGTAATTTTACCATTTTTTTATTAAAAAAGTGATAATCTTATAGATTATCAAGCATTTTTTAACATCAAAAACTTCTGGGTTTCAATTTTTTGTAATTTATCATATTTGAGGTTACTGTAACATAAGTTTTTTCTCAATTTCCCTTAAAAACATTTTTTGATTTTCTTTCACAATCTCCCAACTTGAGCCACCCACGCCCTCACCTACCCTATCTTTCAAATCCTACACATCTATTCTTACCTTACCCTACAACCCCCCCCTATCAACTATATTACCCTACCTACACATGAGAAATCACATGAGAAGCGCCTTGATTTTCAATCCCAACCTAAATTTAAGTCAAAGACGGCCCCCCGGCCCGTTCCTCACGGATAACCCTACCCCCCCCAACAAAACCATGTCACAGTAACCCCACCCTACCCTACAGCTCTACCCTACTCTCACTCTCGTAATGCGTATTTTAGCTCGATTAGAAAGAACGAAAATGGAGAAGCAAAATGAAAAAACTGAACCAAAGCGATTGGCCGGCATGCTTGGGGTTTCCCGACCTGACGGTTTTCTGTTCGTCGCTCTCCTTCTCCTCCTTGATGTCGTCGTCGGCCAGCACGTGGAAGAGGACGTCGGCAAGCGCTTGGCGCATCAACGGCAGACCGAGAGTGTTGGTGGTTGGGGCGAGTTGAGGGGTGTCTTCCGAGTTCGACGCCAGGAATTCGTTTGATCTGAAAAAAATTTTTTTTGATTCTATCTTGACTAACATCGTATATTAACCACCCAAACCTAATATAACGTACTATACCCTATACTACTCTATTCTACCATACCCAACCCTACATATATATTATTATATTAAACTAATTCTGTGCCCCTTCCCCCAAAAGTTGCTTTAAGAGAGGGCACAGAATTATCTGAACAGCGTATCCTACCCAAGTATTTACCTCAAAACCCCAACCCTTCCCCCCCAAACCTACTTCAACTTGTCCTTGCCCAAATTCATTCCCAAATTGGCCAACCACATGTTCTCATGATTGACCGACATCACCGGATCAACACACGATACCAGCCCTCCCGAGCCCTGCTTAATCTCCCATTCGCCGGACTTTTCTCGTTTCAACGACACTGGCGGAGCATTGGAGACGTTGATGACACGTTGCTGGAAGTGAGTGTTGGCCAGGCCACCGGATGTGAAGGATTCGGCTTCGTTATCATGATGTGGAAGTAGAGAACTGTCAGTTGAGTCGATGGAGAATGTGCGTTTTGTGCGTCTTTTTCCAATATCACCTAAAATATTAGGCGAGTATTGGTTCAATGTTTGTTTTTATTTAAATTATATTGTAGTAGGCATTATTATTATAATAAATAAAATTATATTGTAGTAGGTATCTTTACTATCATTAATGAACTATATTGTAGTAAGCACTTTTATTATTATTAAGTTGTTCACGTAATTCTGTGCCCCTTTTCAAATCAAATTTTTAAGGTTAGAAGGCACAAAATTATTTGAACAACCTAATATTAATAAAATTAGATTGTAGTAGGCAGTGTTTTGCCGGACCGGGTCCGGTCCGGATTTTCAAAATTGCAAGATTGAAAATAACTTTTTAGCTTATGGTTTGAAGTTTTAAAAAATAAATAACTTTTGTGAAGGTCCGTCTCATACAAGTTCCTCGCTAAACATTTGGACCGGCCGGACCGAATCGGTCTTGCCGGTCCGGGCGGTCCATTTCGGTAATAACTTGATAGCCAAAGACGGACCTTCACAAAAGTTGTTTATTTTTTAAAACTTCAAACCATAAGCTAAAAAGTTGTTTTCAATTTTGCAATTTTTGAAAATCCGGACCGGACCGGTCCGGCAAAACACTGGTAGTAGGTACCTTTATCATTATATTTCTTCATTTAAACATTTCTAAGCCTTTTTCAGATGAATTTTCAAGCTTTTAGGTATTAAAAGTATCAAAAATTCACCCTTTTTCAATTTTTAAACTTAAATTTCAACTTTTTTCTTATCAAAATCCCAAAAAATTCAATTTTCTTACTGTTAGTATCTTCTTCGTCGCTGTTTTGAGGTGATTTTCCTAAGTTCAAATTCTCCACTTGTAGATTACTTCTACTACCATTTAGTGAGTCTGTCGAGTTTTGCAATGATGAACGAGACAAGGAGCGTCTTCGCTGTAAATGATGATATTGTTCTCCAAAACGCTTCGCGTGGACGCCTAAAACAAGGTTATTTTAGTGAAAAAAGGTGTTCTACAACTAGATAACTCTGTATGACACGTTTTGTGGATCATTTCAATCTTTTTTTCAATACTTTTTCTGTGAAACACGCTTTCTTTCAATATACATCGACAAACTTAATCCAAACGACCTTATCCTTACCCAACAAGCTCTTCCGGACCCCAGGCACAGCAGCATACAGCTCCTTGAGCCGGCTCTTGCCCGTGTTCACATCATACAAAGTTAAACTAAACAACAATGCGTCTCTGTACTTGGTTCCGTGTGACATGTCCGAGTCGTAGATGTAGGGAACGGCCGCTCTCCAGAACTGCACGGTGTGATAGCCGAGAGCATTGACAAACTTCTCAAAGAACTCATTACTATCAAAACTGTGCTGTAGACAATATTCCAAGACAGATAGAATGCCTTGTAGTGCGATTTCGGATTTAGAATCACGTTTTCGCCAGCGGCTGATTATTTGTTCCAACGACTTTTCATTAAAATCCTCGGTTTTTGGATCTAACTCAACATCCAGGCTCTTTAACGTCTTCTCAAGTCTCTGAAATGACGTGGATTGGTGAAAAATATATTGTTTACATTTTTGAAATGATAAAAAGTAGTTTTACAACTATTTAAAAGGAATAATTACTAAGAAACTACAAGAAAATCCATATTATACTCAAAAAATCATGTTGTCTTAGGCAAAGTTAATGTCAACTCTCTCAAAAACTAAACAAACTAATACCTAAAATTATAGAAAAATAAATTCCAAGATCTTATTCATTATTTACCACCGCAAAAACTTTCTTTGCAGCACTTTAACCCGCTCAATTTTTAAATTTTCCCGCAACAACCTCAACTTTCTGTCTATAATTCATTAAAATTGCCATAACTTTTGTTATGCCAAACCAAAATCTTCAAAAATACACCAACTTACAGCTGTGATAGACTCGTGCGAAAAGTTAGTAGCGCCGGGCATGGTTCGCTGTGGGTCGCGACGTTGAAAGGGTTTCAACAAGTTGCACGCGGCTGCCTGTTCGACTGGTACTGAATCTGAAATTCGAAAATTTAGGTATTAAAAATGTTTTAACTTTTGTAAAATACGAAGAAAATAGATACTCCACTACCAATTGAAACTGGACGAAGAATTCCTTCAATTATTCGAAGCCTTACTCAGTTTTAATCACATCAAAGTCAGCCCTAGAGTAATAAAGGAAACTGTTTTGAGAATGATCACTGATAAGACTAATTTGTTTATTCAAAAAGCCAGTCAAAAGTTCGTCTATTTGCGATCAAAACATCGGGCCGGGTTTTCTAGAAATATCCGGACGTATAGCGAGAAAACGGGATATTATAGTAAGTGCTCAAAGGGAAAAGTTGAGATCTCAAAATTTGAAGTTTACCACAACATTCTAGCTAATCTACAAGCTTTATTACATTCTTAAGAAAGCTGATGCAAAGAATTGGCCCAAAATATCAACTATAAACAATGTTTTTGACCAAAAAATATTATTTTAGGTAACAAAAAAGACGTTTTATAAAATATAAGCCCATAACTTGGCCGAACTAAAGGAAATGTTGCGGATTTCTTAACAAAATATAAAGCATAACATGTACAAGCCCTAGAGCAAATGTTCTGTCCAAAATATTCGCAAAACAAAGCGAAAAACAATTTCCAAACACCAAAAACCGGCTAAAACCGGTGGCTTCGGAGAGGAAAACAGCCAAAAGGTCAAAGATTCGTCTCTCAAACGGGCCTAAAATACGATTTCAACAATTTTAAAAGGCAGTACTATTCAAAGAGTACTAGTTTTCAATAAAATAAAGGGTATTTTGATAAGAAAAAACGAAAATTTGTCGGAAAATCCGAAATTTTATTCAAAAAAAGAAATTTCGAAAAGAGAACACTTTGTTTTGGCCGAAAGAGTGGCCAAAAGAGATGGAGAAAAAAGCAATAACAACATAAAAGCAGGCCAAATGTGTTTACAACACTAAATTTAGCAAGTTCCTTTGATATAACTTTCGAAAAAGCGTTCTGGAGAGATGATAAGGCATGGATAACATAAATTGGTAACAATAAGTCTGGTTTTCGAAAGTTTTTGGAACCCTGAGTAAAAAGCAAGTAAAATATGCGTATTAGTATGGTATAAGAGTGGGTTTGTAAGTTACTTAGAAATTAGATGCCAATAATTTTTAAAATTTTAAATTCCCGCGCATTTGGCAACTTTTTGGCATAACGTTTTTTGAGTTATATTAACCATGAGAAAGCCTAGAAACCCAAAAAAACATCATTACAATCGTTCTTGAAATCAAAAAGAAGATGTAATAGGAAACTAACGTTTGCTTTTGATATATTAAGTGTAATATCTGCCACTTGACTGCAATGTGAAGTCAACGTTGGGTTTTATGAGTTTTGACCTTTATCACTGTTGCGGTTGTTTTAATGACAAAAAAATTGAGAAGTGGCAAAAAAATCATTATCTTTGAGCAATGAACATTTATTAGGTTGTTCAACTAATTCTGAGCCCCCTATCAAAGCAAATCTTAGGAGATATGGGGCGCAGAATTATTTGAACAGCCTAATATTAGGATGGTAAAAAGTTTTGTCGTTATTCTATGTATATTTACACGTTCAAAACGACAAGACTTTTTCAACATTTCAAACAAACATAGCTTGTGCCATTTCTTATATCACTCCAAACAAAACCTATGCCATTTCCGAATTCACGTTTCAATAAACTTTAAAGTTCAATGTTCTTGTTCTTGCATTCGCCGTTCCCGTGCTGTTTTCTCCGCTTATTGAAAAACAAATTGGGTGCAAATATTGACGAGGACTTTAAACTCGAATCAAAACATTACAAAATGACGCTTTAAACTGATAAGTTTCAGCGGTTAAATGAATCTTATTAGTCGGGGGTTAAAAATTTTTGAAATTTAAAATTTTGGCGCCTATTTGGCTAGTTTAAAGTTAAAAATTTTTTAAATTTGCATAAAAAGTTGTTCAAATGGTTCTGTGCTCTCTTTAAAAACAAATTTAAAAGAGCTAGGGGCACTAAATTATTTGAACAGCCTATAATATGTGTAATGAAATCAGCAACTTCTTTGTTAAAAATGTGGTTTACGGGCAGGGTTGGTTACAGGGCAGGGCACAGAATTAAAATTCCTTATACTAGCGAGCGGGGAATCGAAGAGCACGAGAACAGCACACAAGAAAATTGTCAATACCCTGCCCATTGTACAGGACTGTTTTTTGATTGCCAGTTCAACTCTACCCCAAAATACTATGAAGATTACTGATCCTAGCCTCAAGATACTAGGAAAACTACTACCTTAGCTTCAAAATACTATGAAAATTACACATTCTACCTTTTAAATACCATGGTAAGCTTGATTCGGACAAAAATACTATGAAAAGCACTGACATCACCCCTAACATAAAAATCATTTTCCTAATCCTCTACCTTCTATAATATATATAACATCCCCCTTACTTTCCCTAAAAACCAGCATGACATACAAGGTTATAACATCCAACCCAGCTAAAGTTAAACAACATGGGCATTCCAATTGGAATACGCAACCATGGCCTTCCTTACTGTGAAGAAAAACACTTAATGCCATTAATTGAGGTTATGTAAGAAAGATTGGTTATACCGTAACAAAATTCACAAAGCTTTTTCTTTTCTTACCGCGCTAATTATTGGCACTGGTGATTTTACCTTGAGTTATATGTATATTTTTATAGGAATGCTTGTTTGCTTCTTTTGTCGATTATAATATTGTTTTAATAGCTAAAATTTGGCGGATGTCCGGAAAGAAGTTTTGATAGAAAGAAAAGTTAAGAGGCTTAAAAGTACGTGATACAGAGGTCAAAAAGTAGGTAGAAACACCATAAAACAGCAAGTTCTTATTTTCTAGTTTTAGCTGTTTATCGTTAAAAAAGATGTTGTATAGTTGGATTTATATACCAAGTTTGTATACCTAAAATGCCTAAGGGTCCAACAAAACATTGACAATTTGAACTCCCAATATATGTTGTCATCCTTGACCGACCTTGAGTACCTTCTGGGTTCATGATTATTATCATAAAAACATGTTATTCTTGAGATAAAAACAGGAATCTTGATGTTGACAAAAGGCAACAAAATAAACTCATTAAATGATGCTCATAGATCAATATTATTATTGCTTTATCATTTCTTTCTTCCTTTGAAAATAAATGAAACCATCTTCCCATGAGCATTTAAAATTTAAAAATCATCGCTGTCCTACCCTACCCTACCTTATTCTACCCTGAAGCGAATAAATAAAGAAGTGCCATTAAAGTTTGAACTTTAGTAAAGTCAATCATATAATGGACGTATTTTACATAAAAAATTGAAAATAATTTTAAAATATAAAATTAAATCTTTTTTAAAATTACAACTAATTTGGAACTCCTGTATAACGAACTCCTCTATAAAAAAACTCCTTTATAACAAACTATTTTCAAGTCCCCGAGCGAGTCGTTATACAGGAGTTCTACTGTGTACTATCTAATCATCATTCATCTATCAGTCGTATTTTACACTAAAAGACAATTAAAAATAATGAGTTATTGTAACAATAATAATATAATCTTGCTATCAAAATTTTGAAATTTTAATATAATCCTTTTGATAAGCAGATTAGAAACGTTTCAAATATTAAAAAAAAAGATTTTTGACTCTAAATTAAAAAAATAAATAAAATTATGATAATTATAAAAAATTTCCACTACAGTAAAACTACGCTAATATTACCCGTCTGCCGCCACGTCGTACATTCGAAACTCCTGTATAACAAAAATGTTTTATCACAAACATTTAAAAATCCCGAGCGATCCTCTAAACCATCGTTATAGAGTGATACGTTATACAGAGGTACCACTGTATAACAATTGTTTAGAGGATTTGCGTTATAGAACAGTTCGTTATAAAAGAGATTCAATGTATAATACCATATACAGTGGTCTCTCTATGTAGTGAACCATCTGTATAAGCAACTCTCCGTATAGTAAACAAGAAATTTGGCCCCGCCAAGTCAACTTTCACTAAAAAGTCTCTCTGTAAATACAACATCCCTTATAGTAAACACAAAATGTCGGTCCCTTCAGGTTGTTTATATAGACTGAGTACTGTATAAGTGAAACATAAAAATTTAGAACACCTTGAGGGCTAGGGCTATGGCAATTGCTATCTTCAAAATCTTCAAAACTTTTTTAAAATAAAAGACAAAGGATAACAATCCTTAAAAATACCTTACCTTTCATATACATCATGTGGCTACTGCCCATTGATGCCCTTCTAGGAGGTATGTAGGCTTCAGTGTTTAGTAATTCCATTTTTATAGGTCTTTTTCACAAAAAATTTAAATTTGGCTTTAAAATTTGTATTGCCTTTTAACTATAGTACTACAATCACTTTTAGTACCAAAACCCCAATAATAGTACCCAAATTATTTAATTCGGCCTTAGAATAGCACTAACTTTTGTATATAGCGACTAATAGTACCTTCTAATATGAGTGCAGTGCTAACTTTTAAGTCAAACGTATAGGTATAGTACAATACTGTTTCTCAACTCAACAGTACTAATATTACACAATCAATAATCAAGTTAATCAAGACGGTAGCCTCTCCTCAAAAAGAGAATGGCAACAAAACAGTGTTGTTTACCTAATGGTACGAATCGCGGGTTTCTCCCCCCGGTTTTATCGAGTTTCGTGAGAAGGTTCGCGACAGAAATCACAATAACAACCTACCAGCATCGGTGACGTTGATCGTTGGAGCTGATTGCACTCGGTCTTTGAACGAACACAACTGCCCTTTGTCTGCCACCACCATTGTCGGGGGCTGAAATTAAGGAAATGTTATAGTATGTTAAATGCCAGACAATATGGTTTATACAATTCACGGTAAAATAGTTTTTAAAAATATTGTACAATGTTTATGAGTGCAATAAAAATAAAAAGGTTTTTAATGACCTCATGTCTAGACCGGTAAAGCGACCAGCCGGCCCTTAACTTAAGCTCTGGCTCTCGGGCTCACTCACGTGCGCCGATCCGGCTTATTTGAACACAACAAAAACCCATGTATAACAAACTTTTTTCATAACAAAACCTTCGTATGACAAACAATTATTAAGTTTCCTAGCAATTCGTTGTACAAAAGTTTAACTCTAATTAAAAAACCAAGGTTTATACTATTAAACTTGAAATACAATTTTAAAAAAAATATAAAAAATAATGTGAGCATAAAAACCGCTTGAAAAAGGATTGAACACTAAAAGAAAAAAATATAAAAATCATTATGTTCAATAGCAAACAATACCAAATGCAAAAAAGGTTAAAAAGAAAGGATTCTTTACTTTAATTAATACATTGAGTACGTAAGAAAATAAAAACAAAGCGCATCAAGCTGAAAATGCTTTAATTTTTTTTAAATTTTACTCCTCAAATAGTACTCAACCTTTGGTGCTCACTCAGTATCTAGCTCTTTTGCTTTAAAAAGATATCCAAACCCTTCCCCCTCCTTTAAAAGGTCAGAAACAGGCCGGACTACTTTGGAGGCCCGATCCAAGCATGTGACCAGGGCCGGGCGCGAGGGGGGGGGGAGGGATGGGGGAGGGGGGGGGGTACCCCCCCCAGAAAAAAAATTTTAAAAAAAAGTTAAACGTGGTCCCCTGTGGATCTTCGGAAAAAAAATTTTGCAAAAAATTTTGACCCCTGCCCCCAGACCAAAAGTCCCCGCCCGGCCCTGCATGTGACCCAACATTTTTTTACAAATCCGGCCCGTTATCTTGCCCTCTTAAAAATTGTAAACCAGCCTGTTTTGAAGTATTAAACATTTTAAAACTTAAAGAATGATAGAGAATTTGGCTTTGCATTGTTGTTTTACATCTTCTATTAATTTTTTAAAAAATTTTTAAACAATTTTTATTTTTTCTGAGAATCTAAAAAAGCAAAAGACATTCAATTTTTCCCCTGCCAACGGTAAAACATAATTTTTATCCCTTTGTAAGCCAAGCCACGCCAAAACAAACCATGTATAATATCTCACCTACAACAATATAAAACCTCCAATCAAAACCCGAATGATTGGCTTTCATGTATAAAACTCTAAAAGCAAAAAAGAGTTTGAGTATCAGCTGCTAATACCCACAACAAGATTTTATATATCTTTAATTTCGCTTTTTCCGAATCCGTTCTTTCGTTTCCACCCTGAGGGCAAGACTGTTTCACGTGCAAATTCTGTGACAAATGATTGCAATAATATTTTGCTCGATAAAACAACAACATAAATAAGACTGCAATCAGCAATTTCAGTCAAGGACAAGTTTTTTGATGCTTAGAATGGGGCTGGTAGTTTTTGAACTATAGTTTTTAATGCGGTAGGTGATAGGAAGTAGACTTAATAAGTGATAGGAAGTAGATTAGATATAATTCCTATAAGTGATATGAACTACATATAATAGTCGTTGCCTAAGGCTTCTAAGCAGTTTTAACATGAGAGGAGGGGAGGACACAAGCAACATTAAAAAGAGCTTTTCACTTACAAACAGAGCCGGGTTGGTGACTACAGTCACAAGAAGGGACGAAGATCAAAAGAATCCTGAACGCTAGCCTTGCTCTTAGTCTTCAAATTCTTTGTCCTAACCTTAGCGTCGGCCTTAGCCTTAGTCTTAACTATAGTTTTAGTCTTAGTTGCATCCCTAGTTCTTCTCCCAGCTTCAGCCCTAGCCTAAGCCCTAGCCTAAGCCCTAGCCTAAGCTCTAGCCTAAGCCCTAGCCTAAGCCCTAGCCGGGAGCACTAGCCTATAGCCATAGCCCAGTCCAGCCAAGAGTCCCACCCAGAGCTCAGAACCCTAGTTCAAAGCCCTAGTTCTAGCTCTATCCCAGAGCCCTAGCCCAGAGCCTTAGCCAAGGGTCCTTGACCAGAGCCCCAGCCCAGAATCTTGGCAATGTGTTTCAGTATGATAAGTTTGTCGTGTATACCGCTTCACAAATATTTTTCAAACTTTCAGACTAAAAACATCAAAATCATCCTTAAATTGCACTAATTAAATCACCCGCCAGTTGATAGTTCAAAGTTTGGTGACGATTTATCAGTTTTCAAACAAAATTTCATAAAACTCTTCGGAAAATATAATGCGTTTTCAATGATATTTACCATATTTTCGGTTTACCGAAAAAACGAATGATAAGAAAACTTTTTAACTGATAATAAATAATCTCGTTCACCCCCGAGGTATCCACAAAGCGAAGGTAAACATACGATTTGTAAATAGTTTTTTGTACCTGTATAGTAGTATAGATAACTGTTAGATACCCTACCCTATCCTACCCTACCCTGCCCTGTCCTACCCTACCCTACCTTAAACTACTTTACTCTACCCCACCGTTCCCTCCCCTACCATATCCTACCCCGCCATGTCCTGACCTGCATGTTTTTTCCTGCCCTGTCTAGTCCCGTCCTGTCCTAACCTACCCAGCTTATCCTACCCTATCTTGTCCTGTTGTGCTCCCTCGTGCTGTGTCCTGCCTTGCCCCGTCCTACCTTACCTTATATTCTACTCTTCCCTCTAATACAGCCCTATCTTAACTTAAACCTAGCCCATAATCATACCATAACCTTATTTTAACTTATACCTACCTTTGGTATAGCTAACCTAAACATAAAACATAATATCACCCTCCCCTCTCCCTTACAATAACAAACCCCCCTAACCTCTACAGTAACAACACCCCCCTACTATACAATAACCCCCCCCTAACATAAAAACCCATCCCCCCCCTTTTCCGTATTTTAATCCCAGACAACAGCCGCCACGAAAAAGCCATGCCCCTATCTTCCTCGCGAAACCAAACAAATCACATTACCTTCGAATCGAAAAACTGTTTCAATTGATAAAAAAAATTTTTTTCCTAAAAATACACCGACCGGTCACGTTTTTGTCCCACCGGAAAACGCACCCGCCGGGTCCCACGAATGACAAAATAAGCGACAGCGATGGGGGGTGATCCGTCAAAATAATCATCACTGATACGAAGACCTTCAAATCGAGACCGTCGCTCCGCAAATTACGTAAAAATTCGCGAGTTTGCCGTTGATATGCATTCGAATGTCCTGGAATTGGTGTCGCGACGTCGTTATGACGTCGAAAATCCTGAAGTGATGACAAAAGAAAACAAAATGAGATTTTTGGGTTTCGGGATCTGCAATGTTAACATACTAACAAAAAGAGATCTGTATTGTTATCATACTGACAAGAATGTGATAAACTGGAAGAACATCTTTATCACATTCACCTGATTATAATCCTTGAGCAACATTTAGGTAAATTTGAATTTAAATGTCATCATAAGGATTCTACTCTACTATACACTAATCTACCCTGCCTTTCCTTACTTTGCCTTATATTACATTACCATATCTTACCTTACCCTACCTGGTGTTACTTTCCCCAGCCGTACCTAAGCTACCCTAGTCTTCCATATCATACTTTATACTACCTAACTTTACCCTACCATCCCCAAACTAAACCAAACGCTAAACTTACTGAATTCTGTATACTACAATCAGTCGTTACCCATATAGTAAAGACACAAATTTAATTCTTCTTTAAACAAGCTTCGAGCATTAGCAGGTCTGTCATTGAGTCGCCACAAACCAAGATTAAACCAATTCAAGTCCACCTTGGCCCGTTTCACCAACAATTCAATATTACCCCTTTGTCGAAAAGGAGGTGGTATTGAACACTTCTCTTGCCTTAGGTTACCTTAACTTTCCTTACCTTACTCGTACGTTTCAAAAGTTTCGAAGAAGAAGTTGTCGCGACGTCAGCGTAGTGAGAGTATAGAGACGAAGTTTTAACACGTCAAGATAAAGTGATTATAACGTGCCAAAGATGACTTAACAAGCCAAAAGACATCCCTGCTAAGAAGACAATTCTAGAGTACTCCCCTAAGCCAAAAGTACGAATAATAAACAAACTACAGCAACTTTACAAGACAAAGACAAAAGTTTTGGACCGTCCAAAAGACTCGTATTTACCGCCTCTTGGTCAATCTCATTCCTTACCCTCACCCTCGCGTTACTGTACCATACCAAACAAAAATACAGCTGTCGTTCTAAACAACATGATCATCAAGTCAAAGGTATAAACCACATAACAAAGCTTTATTGAGATCAAGTTAGATATATACCTTCATATAGTTTTAAAAAATAAATATTATTCATTGCTTGCCGTTTTCGCTTGAAGAAACTGCGTTTTTGACAAGTTTGAACTTCATTCGGAGACCCTCGAGTTTGGATTCCACTACTCTGTAGTTGTCGAACACGGATGGCAACATTACTTTTGGCTTCTTTTTGGTGGGCAGTAACGGTTTTTTGAATACACTGAAAAGAGTTGGTCATTACTTTCGACTGGTCGATAGTATTGGAGTCAAATTTTGGATTTATACTCTATAAATACTGCTTAAGCCACAGTAATACGTTACTATAACATACAACCTTAGTGTTTCAAATAACAACAACAATTTAAAAATTCAAAACCCAATCTCTACATCAACTCACTTATCATTCTCCTTGCCCGCCTTATTATTCTGTTCATTTATCGTGCCATTTCCGAAGATTTCGGTAAAAGTCTCTATGGCTTCGGACATTGATGAGCTTCTGTCGCCTTGGTCCGATAAGTTGTAGCTGCTATTCTTCTTCTTTTTCTTTTCTTTCTTCTTTTGTTTCGCTTCTTTTCGGATTCTCTCTTCTCGTGCAGCTGTCGTAATGTCCAGAACTTCACGAGATCGAAGGTTTTTGAAGCTCACGATCAAGGGGGGCTGAAAATGTTGAAATTTTACTTTATAAAAAATGAAGAACAAGATAAAACCGTAATAAAAAGCAGAAATAATAGAAAATAAATCAAAATGAACCTAATAAAAACCTCTATTTTGCAAAAAAATCAGTTTCTAGCAAAAAATTTTAAAAACATTCAAAATTATAAAAGCAGTACTACAATATCAATTGGAAAACAACTACCTGTCAAACTAAAATTTTTCTTATCTGAAATGCTAAAAAACAAAATTTTAACAAAAAGAAACTTTGAAAAGTTGAGTTTACCTCATAGAAGTCCATCTACAACCAATTCGATAAAACTAAAGCAAAATAATAAGTGAAACTTAAAATTTCAATCAAACAATAAGGCATATCGCCTCAACAGGCAGTTTTGGCTTGAAAGAGGTTAAACATTGTTTTTTCCAGAAATCAACCAAAAATTAGCAAAAAATCCAATATTTTTTAAAAAATTTAACTAAACAATGGAACCAAGCCTCCTACCCAAGAAATTAAAACAAGCTGCACCAAACAGCACCCATACCCAGGGGCGTCGCTACGGATTTTTTCTGAGGAAAGACCCAAAATTTTTTTTTCGATTTTTCGCGTACAGGTACCTACCTGCAGAATTTTTTTCGAATCGGCTCCGGGGGGGGGGGGGGGGAGTGGATCCACCCCTCTCCACCCCACCCTTCAGCGACGCTCCTGCCCATATCCAAAAAAAGATTAAACCAAGCCGCACTCCTACCAAAAAAATGCTTCCTCAGGCAATCATCCCCTATAAAAAGCCGTACCATCTAGAGCTGTAAAGTGACCGAACCGAGCTCAATTTTTCGGTCCATCTTACGGGCCACGCCTTGGTTTGAGCTCCGGCGCTAAGGTCCTCGACAGAAGAAAATTTTCTTCGGCCCGGCCCCTTACATAAAGTCCCTATACAATAACTGGGACCAGGGCCGGTCTCGTCACGAGCCCTAGTTTAAGCTCGGCCCTACTGACAAAGATAGAAACCGAAACATGTATAAAACACAGTAATAACTTACCCTATCAGTGCTTGGTTTTTCATTCTCATAATAATCCTTTCTGGGTTTGAAAACTTCTGATTTAGCTGCCCTTGGAACTGACGACTTGGCCTTCCTCAGCGTATATGTTGGGTCTGACACTGTCTTTTTGGGTTTTGAAAGTTTGGACTTCTTGCCTTTCCTATGTGACAGTTCGAATCTTCGTTTGACTGTCTTTCTTTGCTAAAATTATATATTAAGTTGTATAAAAAGTAATGAGCCATATCTCATAATTCACATTTGGGTTGAACCTACAGTTTTTAATATTATCCACAAAGCTGATAATATAATCCATAAACTTTTTGGACCCAATTCTTTAATAATTCACCAAAAAAGTCAATGAAACAGTAGCAGATACCTACTTCAATATGTTTGGCCTTTTTAACCACTTTTACTGGAGTTGTCTCACTTTCTGAGCTGATAGGAATGGTCGGCAGCATCTTCAGACTATTAGCGTAACCCATTTGTACTGCTGTTAACTTTGAAAAATCCGGAATATTGTGTTTACATGGGCCATGATACCTATAAGCTGATACTAAAGAATTTTTTATTTTTGAAAGAATGGCCTAAATTGTTAGTTTTTACAATTACTAGATTTTTATATTACCTAAAAATCCATAACCACAAGCATTTTTTCTAAAACTTCCCAAAACGACACTATTTTTCAAAGAAACATTGACTTACAGTTGAACATGCCCATCTTCTTTAACTTTCCTCCTTTCTATTGGATTCTCCTTCTTTGAGTAATAAACTTCTGCTTCTATAACTGCTTGAAGATTCACTGGATATTTTGGTATCTAAAAAGCATTTTTAAGACATTGCTTTTTTGATTTTTCAAAACTTGAATTTTTATAATTGTTACCTAAAATAATATTTTAAACAAAAATCATGCGCCTTGAACATTAAAAATAAAAGTTACAAGACAGTAAGTTCAAATTTATCATAAATTTTAATTAATATCCATAAAAACCCAAAAAAACCTTGATTTGTTACCTAAAACAACAATTTTTGTTAAAACCTTAACCTATAATAATACAAACTTAGGTTAATATAAAACGTTATTTACTGTGAAAAACACCTTTAATATCTACCACATTGAAAATGAAAATTGATACTGACTTACCACCGGTCCACGATAAAAAGATCCAACTTGTAAAACATACGTGTAAAGTTCTTCCACATCAATACCTTGATCATCCAGAGCTGCTTCCATGTCTTTTAACCGAAGGAATTCATGACCAGCTGTAAGATCAGATATATAATTGTATTTTTACTTAAAAACTGTGATTTGAAATTAAAAATTGAGATCTCTTACAACCCAGCAGTTCAACGACCTTATTTCAGGTAAAGGCCTTGTTCAGAAGATTTTTACAGTTCTAAATCTAAATTGCTGCAAGCAAACGTTGTTTCATCAGTTTCATCAAATAATTATACGTCTTTTACATCTTTTGACAATCAAAAAACATTTGTTTTCCTTCAAAAACGGCGGTAATTCCACAAAAATCAGGAGCAATATCACCTAAAACAATAAACAAACAGCAAAAACATACCAAAATCTCGATGTAAAGCCATTCTTTTGCACAAATCTTCAAAGTACCTCTTGGCCAAAAGTCCCAATAGCTCTATTACTGGCTTTGTCGCCGCTTTAAAGCCCATATTATCCAGCACCAATGCTATGCTCCGCTGAAATGCTCGCCTTCCAAGTTCTTCGGTTGGATTCTCTATCATTTGTTAAATTTATCTGAAATTGAATAATTTGGCATAAATTATGAAAGTCGAAAGAATGTTTTCATAACCTTGTTATAGATATTTACGCAATTTTCAAAATGCCACAAGTTAATCTTGCTAGTAACTTAATATACCCAAACAACATAATTATGTCAAAAATAGATAAAATTTAAAAAAAGCGTAGGTAATAAACATACTTTTTTTGGCATTGAAAGTGCATAATTTGTAAAAATGTTAAATTTACAATTATTTTACTAGAATGACGAATTGCCACATTTTGTAGCGTTTCGTTCCTTCTGTATTGGATAAGCATTCTGCTTAACATCTTGTTCTTTACCGCATTGTACGTTGTTAAAACTGTGTAAAATTGTAAACTTAGAAATTATCTAACTTTTTATTATTCACTAGTTTTTTTAAATTAAATTAATTTTATATTACTCTTATTACAGGTAATGTAACCAAATGACAAAGTTTCAATCCTTTGTGAACAATATAAGTTATTAAATGTTTTAAAATTATCATTAAAATTAAAAAATGCATTTACAATTACTTTATCATGATTTGATTAACTTCCCCTGCTTAAACAGTGCGAATTTCGCCGGAAATACTTCGTGGTGGGATGAAAAACAATTCGAACCGATTCGAATATTCGAGAACTTTCGCGCCAAAGCCAGCGAAAAACGGACGACAGAGCAAGGAAAAGTGAAGAAATAGAATAGAAATTTGGAGAAGGAATTGTCTATCGCATGTTTTGTTTCGTCTAACAGGTAGTTTACATTTTACAATAATTTTTTCGATGTTTAGGATATGGTTGAGGTCAAGATTATGGAGGAAGACGGCTGGAAGCTGGCTGAATGGGCTGTAATTTTATGTGGGATTCTGGGTATTTTGCTAGAAGCTTTTGACTTTTTACTGACAGCTTTTTAAATTAATTAGAAGAATAGCGTGCTTATTATTATGTTAAAGGGAGGAATATAGAGATATTTTTGGATAACAAATCGTTAGGACAGAAATATTAAGTTTTTGATTGATAAACGAGATTGCCTGGATTGTTTATTTTTGTTTACGGGTTTTGAAGTTAAATTCTGAAGCTTTCTAGAATCTTTTTAAGGCTTTTTTAGTCTTTAAAAACGTCTACAAACAGGGGTGTTCAAATGGCAATGTTAATATAATTTCAGCTGTAAAACAAGTTGTTCTTGTCTTGACTCATTGTAGGTTTCGTAAAGCTTTTCGCTTTAAATTAACGTTATACAAGCCTTTTAAAGTAAAAAAACTTGCTAGAAAGCAACTTTGATTAAAGTTATTGTCGCAAAAACATTGCGATTTGATTAATTTCGTTTTACCTTGAATTTTACCGGACGGTAATTTAGTTCAGAACACAACCTTCGTTCCGACGGTTTTATCTTTTTTGGCGAGTGGAAATCTATCGTGGCTGTGTACTTTGATGGATATTGTTTTAGGTATCTTTTTTGTGAATTTTGTTTGGTTTGAGGGCTTTTTGAATTTATTTACCTAAAACGGTTTGTGATGGAACATGTACTGATTTGTCAGATGTTTTTTTATCGCTTTTTACATCTTTTGATCTGTTTTACACAAAAAAGTATTAATAACGGTGTTTTGATATAGTATACTAAAAATTGCTACGATAGTAAAATGGGTAAATCAAAATGAAATTTAGCAGTAAATTTACGTTTAGAAGCTTCCGTTCCTAAACTTAAATTGACCTTTGAAATCAGGTCATTGAGTAATTAATTCACATTACTCATTCTGCTAATTTACGTTCGAAATGTAAGACAATTTGAAGGAATCGAGTGCTAGGTCATCTGATCATTGTTTTTTTGTTGAAACCACAAGCGACACATCGATCTAGCTGGCCATTTAGTAAAAAATAGTAAAGTAACAATGATCTTTCTTGATTGTAAGGTCTAAAAGATTGACGTTTCGTCTAAAATAATATAATTTTTTGTTGTTTTTTGAAGAAAAAGTTGTTTGTAGTAAAGTTTATGTCTGTTACTTGTTTTTTAGTAGTTTTAGAATATTGCACTTTTTGGAACGGGGATTTTTGTTGTTTTTAATCTCTTTTGTCTATAGATTTATAAAGATTAGTCTAGTTGCATAATATTTTACTTTTTTTTTTAAATTCAATTTCGTTTATGATTGTAAAAAAGTAATTGAATGATGTTTTTGTGTTATGCTATACAGGGCTAAAATATTTTTTTTCTTTTGATAAATTTTTTAAAATCGCGAAGTTTTGATTGTTAATATTGCAATTTTAACCATAAAACTTGATTTACGAATTCTCTTTTCAGAAGTATAGAAATTTATCACATCTTAATTTATCTACCTGAAGAATGGGTAAGGATTACTACAAAATCCTCGGCATTGCCAAAGGAGCCACCGATGATGAAATTAAAAAAGCGTACCGGAAAATGGCTCTAAAGTTCCATCCCGACAAGAACAAGGACCCAGGAGCAGAGAACAAGTTCAAAGAAGTGGCAGAAGCGTACGATGTGTTGTCAGATGCCAAAAAGAAGGAGATCTACGACAAATACGGAGAAGATGGACTTAAGAACGACGGAATGCCTGGTCCTGGCGCTAGTGGAGCTGGTGGTATGCCTGGAGGCTTCCACTACACCTTCCAAGGAGACCCGATGAGAATGTTCGCTCAAGCATTCGGCGGAGGAAACTTGTTTAGCGACTTCTCTGGTATGGGAGGTGGACATGGCGGCGGTGGCCCAGAGGTAAGGATTTTTGGTTTTTGTTTTGAATTTTAGGTAACAACATCGTTAAAATAAGTAAGATAAGACTTGTTTGTGAAAAGAAAGATTGTTTGCCTAATAGGCGTTTACATAACATGATTTTTCTGAAAATAATTATGTTTTTTATAGATGATGTTCGGTGACGATATATTTGGATTCGGTGGCATGGGTGGTATGCATGGAGGCGGCGGAGGACGCAAACGACAAGATCAGACTGTACAACACGATCTGCCAGTCAGTCTAGAGGATATTTATAAAGGATGCACAAAAAAGATGAAAATCACCAAGTACGTTGTTTTTGATGGCACAATTAGGTTGTTTAGCATATTTTTATTAAAGAAATGTCAGTAGAAATGTTTTTGTTTATTAAGCGGGGTTTTTAACTTTAGGTGATACCTAAAATAAGGTTTTTTCCTTACTACTATCAAAAATATCATTATGCGGGATTTTAGGTATAAAATATTGTATAATTTTTTAATCTTACTATAATAATAACACTTTTTCCTTTCAGAAAAATCGTTGGCGGCGATGGATCAGTACGAACTGAAGACAAGGTCCTAACCTTGACGATAAAGCCAGGATGGAAGGCCGGGACCAAAGTCACATTCCCAAAAGAAGGCGACCAATATCCAAGCCGAGTACCAGCCGACATTGCCTTTGTCATCAAAGACAAACCGCATCCAAAGTTCAAGCGTGACGGCGCCGACATCCGATATAGACATAAGATCTCGCTCAGAGACGCGCTCTGCGGCCACCAACTTCAAGTACCAACTCTGGATGGCACCACTCTACCACTAAAATTGGAAACGGTCGTAAAACCTTCGATGACCCGCACAATTCCCGGCCAAGGACTACCTCTACCCAAAGAACCATCAAAACGAGGCAATCTGATTGTAGAGTTTGATGTCCGCTTCCCCGACAGTCTTAGCCCGGCCGCGAAGGAATTGTTACGCAACGCCCTACCGCCGATGTAAATTACAGTAGTTGAGTGCTACAGTCAACCTGTGGATGGGTAACCCGGAGATCTTACTGTAGTTATAAACCGCCTATCTCTCAATAATTGGTTTTGTTTTTTACTGTGTTATATCGTGATTATTTATGGGTGGTACACAAGTCGCCACGAATGAACTTTTGTAAAAGATACTACTGTAACATCGGCCTTATGTTTTTCACTTTGTTAAACTTGCAGAATAAGATTTTGTTATTATTTTGGAGATTTTAACTATTGAAAAGTGTTAAAAAATATGATCATGTTTTCAATGGTAAATGACATCGAGGGTTTACTATAGTCAGGGACGTCGCTACGGTTTTTCTCTAGGGGGGGGGAGTCACCCCGAACCACCCCCCCATTATCGTCTTGAAATCTTTTAGGTAGCCTTTGAACTCAATATTAATATTATAGCTTGATACCACGAGAAGCGTGCTTAGCATGGAGGAATGAAAGTACAGTAATACAGATTCAAACATGAAAAACCAATGACGATTACTGAGTAGTAAGGTTTATAGGCCAAGCCAGTAAGGGTAACGATGCGTTCATTGCGGTGGATTGATATCGTCGACCGTGACATCCTCGTATTTGTCGTAGCCGTCTTCATCATCATCGTCCTTCTTGTCGTCCTTCTTCTCCTTCTTGGAACCGTTTTTCTTCTCGTCCTTTTTCGATTTGTCTCCAGTGCTCTTGGCTGAAAATAAGGTGGATATTAGACTTGGTAATGAATTTTTTAGGCTTGAGCATTAAGTTTTAGAACTTGAACATCGAGTTTTTAGGCTTGTGCATATAATTTGTATGCTTTAACATCAATTTTTAGGCTTTAAACGCAGTTTTTAGGCTTAAGTTTGAAATTGAGGACTATATAGAGGCAAAACATAGCCTTAGGTCTTAAAATATTAAAAATGTTATCGACCTCCTTCATAAAATACTAAAATCGACTGGCTTTTCAAAAAATATATGCATTTTCATGTTTTGTTTTTAAAAATTAAAAAACTCACCAGCAGCGGGCGGAGGCGGAGCCGCTGCAGGTTTGACACCGGGCGTTGGTGGAGCGGGCTTGGGTTGTGTGTTTTTCTTCCCACCACATCCCGAAGCCAGCTGGGTCAGCGTTGCCAGACATATCAGGAAGAGCTGTGCGTACACAGGTATGAGGAGCTCCTGAAACGTGTAGTTTTAGTTACAGTAGAATTTATTAAAATGACTTTTTTGAGTTTTTAAAAACTAAAATATGATAACATTTGGCACAATAGGACACATGAAGTTCACTATCATATTATGAGTTCTAGCACGAAGTTACAGTATGATACTCTAAACCAAAGTACATAGCGTTAACTACAAACATAGCTTTAACGAACATGTTCTCGGCTTTTAAACTCACATTCATGTCCAAAAGTCAAGTCGTCGCTGAGTGCGAGCGGCTTCTCAACTTCAAACAACGTGTCCACGAGATTCTCGACCGCACCAAATCCGACGCGAAAGTGGAAATGAAAAACCGGTCAATTCACACAACACCACCGCTCAATGAGGATCGACTAAAACAATTCTGACCAATATTTGAAATGGCATTTTTTAAAATTTGAAAATTTAATTTTTATGAAAAAATTGAAATTTAGTATGAACTGTAGATGCACTTTGACTGGGCATAACTTTGTTGGTATTACAGGTTTTAGGGTACAATTTGGCATAAGTAAAGCTTAGTTCAAGGTAAATTGTCATATGGAAAGCCGGTAATGTAAAAATTAAAATTTAGAATGTTATGACTGCTTTTTACAGAACAAGTCTAGAAAGCATGCCTAAAACATACTTTATCATATCTCTGTTGTTATCAAAAGTAGCAAAGTTTAATTTGGCACAGTGTAATCTTGTTTTATGGTAAATAAGCACCAAAAACGTTATGTTTTAAAAATTTTAATTAAAGATGTTATGAGTATTTTACTTACTGTTCCTCGTCTCAATGTTGGCTAGGGCTTGTCTGGCTTGCCTAGCCTTCTATTATCTTTATATAACAACTAAATTTTAAAAAATCAACATTTACTATGACATACCAGATAATTTGTCATAAAAAAGCATCTAAACATAAAAATTTACTTTCATTGATATCTCTGCTATCTTATCCTTCTTGTTTTTGAAAATTGTTTCAAAAGCCCTCCTGTCTTTTTTGGCGCGATAACCTCAATTGTCCTCTCGTATACAAAGTTTTTGATTGCGCATCGATATCTTCTTAAGATGCCAAGGGCCAAAGTACATTTTTTTCATTGATACCTAAAATTATGTACCGATTTCCGCGTCCTTTTGGCAACACCTTTCCAAAAATATAAATTCATTTGTCACTTCTTAGTGATTGAACTATAGTTGTGTTTGTGTTCTTGTGATTAATAAATTAAATTTATCAAAAAAATGTCTTTCTCCGTGAGCTCTGCCAGCTTCGAGCACGTCAAATACCTTGGCGAAGGTGGATTTGGATTGGTAAGTTTCTTGTGAATAATATTGGCATTATTAGATGTTTTGGTAATTGTACTTTTAAAGGTACAAAAATTATCAAAACAAAGTAAAATAAGGTTTACTCCAGTTTGGAATGGCATAGGCTTTGATTTTTCTTTTCCTTGAAAGTTTTGGCTGTCTTGTAAATCACCTTGTGAATATTATTTGGATTATTGGATGTCTTGATGAGTTTTGTAGATTTTAAGCTATAAAAGTCACCAAAACAGTATAAAATGGGGGTTTCTTGACTTTGAAATGATTTTCAGTTTTAATGTTGCTTTATATTGAAAGACTTGAAACTTGTTAACTATCTTGTGGATTATATTAAGATTCTTGAACGTTTTGATGATCTTTTTAGTTTTGAAGCCACTAAACTCATCAAAACAGCGTAAAATGAGGTTTTCATGACTGTATTGACTTTAGATTTGATTAATGCATTTTTTGAAAGATACGGCTGTGAATCTTGTAAAATACGTGTAAATTAAACACTCATCCAATGCTTGGCTTATATTTTTGATCTTTTTTAAAAATTGTTTCTAAAAAAATTTCGCTTCGGCACACAAGCCACGTCTTAATATTACTGTAATGAGATTGTAAACTCATTTAAAAGTCTCATAATGCCATTTTTTGTGAATACACCAAAACATGAAGTAACTGATACTTAGCAATGTTCTGTTAACATTTTTTGGCAAATTATTGCTGCAAACACTTAAAATTAGATATATCGGTCAAAAGTTTCATAGAATTAACTTCCGTAAACTAATTGAAAGTTTTCAATGCCAAATCAAAAAAAAATAAAAGATTTCCTGATTAAATGCCATATTATCTTATTTTTGTTATTTATGTATTTTTTTTACGTTGTTGTTTTTCTAGGTGTCTGTAGTGAAGAAGATTGGTGGCGTCGATGCCGAGGTCAATTACGCCATGAAGTGCCTTAAGAAGTCAAAGGCGTACAGAAGTGAGGCCGCTAAAGGCCAAGTGAAAACCGAAATTGAAGTATTGAAGAAGCTGGACGGCACGTTCTTTGTGAAGCTGTGCTACAGCTTTGAGTCAAAACATCTGATTCACCTGGTGATGGACATGGTAGACGGGTGTGACCTGTTTGCCTACCTTCACCGGGTGAAAAAAATGAGGCAAAAGCTAGGCCTAAAGCTGACGCGCTTCTTCGCGGCTCAGCTAGTGTTGGCCATCGACTACCTGCACTGCGAGGGAATGGCTTATCGCGACTTGAAGCCTGAGAACATTATGGTCGACCGCGACGGATACATCAAGCTGATTGACTTCGGCTACACCAAAAGCAACGTGAAGAATGATATGTTGATGTACACGTTCGCAGGTACAACGACGCATCTGCCTCCAGAAGGTTACTACCCACAGAAAGGGTACACGTGGATGGTCGACTGGTGGTCGCTTGGCATCGTGGTTCACGAAATGTATTTCGGAAGAATCCCGTTCGATTCGCGCGACGTACAAGAGCTGTGGAGACAGGTCAGAATACTGTAACATTAAAATAGTAAATATTACTATATAACTTATAAAACACTACTAAAAATCACTTTTCATATAACAAAACGAATGAACAGTACTGTAAACTTTACAAACTAGTTAGTAGTAACGTATTCTATAAGGTACTGTTTACAATCAGAAAACAAAAGAATTTAGTACTTTGTTCCTTGCAATATTAATTACGCAACTTAGTTTAACAACTGTTAAAAGTGTTGTAGCTTTACAATATTACTTAATGCAAGCTATAAAACTATTTTTGAACTATTTAATAAACTTAAAATACTGTTTAACTTACTTTTATTTTTGTAGATTGAGGAAGACAAGCTAGTGTTGCCAAAATCGGCAGACGCGGGCTTGAAGAAGTTGCTCCAGAAGCTTCTAGAAAAAGATCCGATCAAGCGGGCTGGCTCAGACGGATTAGCAGAGTTGAAGAAGTTCGACTTCTTCAAAAACGTGGATTTTGAAGCATTGGCTTCAAAGAAGCTTCTCATGCCATTGAAAGAGCCGATACCAACTAATGAAGAGCTCGACATCCAAGATATCGACAGAAGTTGGTTCGAAAAGAGCGAATTTGATGGGTTCGGTGACGTTTATGTTGCTGAACACCTGAAGCCAAAGTTTGAAGCGAATGTAGAAACCTATGTTGAGAACGACGAAAACGTGACACCAAATATGGATTCTGAAGTCAAGAAGAAGAGCAAGAAGCCAGTCAGAGAAACCAAGACGCAAGCCAAAGAAGAACTGCAGAAAGAAGCCGAACAACCACAAAAACAGCCAGAGAAGGAAGCTAAAAGGCCACGTGGGCGGCCAAGAAAAGAAGCCAAGAAGGAAGACAAGCCAGCCAAAGAAGCCGAAAAGCCCAAAGAGAAAGAGAAGAAGGCGACAAAACGGAAGGCAGAAGAGCCACCTGTCGCTGTTAAGCGGCCAAGAAGAGCTAATGCTCGATATAATAATTAATATTTTATAATATTGTAAATAGTTGTTGAATTTTAAACATTGATTTTATATGTATATAACGGTTATTTATTGTTTTATTGTATATAATTGTTAATTTTGAAAAATGTGAAAATAAAAAATAAATAAATTTTTATAAAATATATATTTGGAAACATCATTTTTTAATCTATCTTAACCAAATAGAAATATAGTATACGGCATTGTACTGCCACAGAGCTCGGCGATTCAATACTGGTCATTATTTTGTAGTAAAAGGGCAAAAAACAAGGAGAAACATAAAAATTTGAATATTTCAACAAAGCTCTAGAAAACCCGTCATCTAAAAATAGCTATATCACACTTTTTATAAAACATAGTGTAGATAAATAACATGCATACTTTATTCTAACCTAATAGTAGAAAATAAAAAGCTAAATAATGAAACTATAGCACAGAAAAGATACTAAGTAGTTGCCTGAAGAAATAAATCTTTCTATTCTGGGTTAACAAAAGTAGTACCAACCACAGTGGCACCAGTGCCAGGTGGAGCAGTAGAAGCTGTCTCAGCTGGGGCAACAAAAGTAGTACCAACCACAGTGGCACCAGTGCCAGGTGGAGCAGTAGAAGCTGTCTCAGCTGGGGCAACAAAAGTAGTACCGATTATGGTGGCTCCAGTGCCAGGTGGAATTTTGGTACCAGCTTTGACAGGAGCTTTTGCAGCTGTAGGCTTACGAGCTGGCACTTTTTGAATTGGCTTTTTACCGGCTCCTGAATTTGAAATAAACTTTGATATTACAGTTCAACTTACCAAAGGCAGTAACAGCCAAAAGGGCCAAAAGAAGGATGATGAAGGATCGTATGTTGGAATGGACAAACAAGTTAATGAATGATAGGTATACTCTTGATCTGTTGGCTTTTATACGAAAAATTATAATAGGATTTGCATAACATGTGTTATATTGAACAGATTTGAAGGTAGACTGATTATTTTTACTGTAGTTCTTGAATAGCACAAAAAACGATTACAAAAACAAACAGAAAAAGATCATTGTCTCTGTATGCAAATCCTTTATAACTAAAAAAGGCTAAACAGGGCAGGTAAATTCAAACTTCATTTTATACTAAAAATATCCAAAAGCTGCATTATTTACAGTACGTATTTTAGTACTTGATTGTTCAATTCATAAAACACAAATAATATATTTTTAAATTTATTTTTTATAGAATTCAAGTAGAATTGGCCAAGTTAGTAAAAACCAGTTCAAGTTTAGGCTGGTGGTGGAGAAGGGGCGCCATCACCGACGTTCACATCTTCATATTGTTGCTCATCATCTTCCTCGTCCGTCTTCTTTTCATCTTTCTTTTTGTCTTTCTTGGAAGCATCCTTCTTCTCCCCCGTCTTGGGTTTGGCGGCTCTTACACTTTCTGGTGAACCTGATGGTAGCATTTTCATAACATGTTGTAGTAGGTTCTTGTTACTTTTTATAAGAAAACGATTTTTAATGTCGTAAACAAAAGGTAAAGATATCATCCATGATTGTAACCATAATGTCCTAGTTTTTTTTAAAATCATAGACTACTTTAAGATACTGTGCCAAACGTTATCTTGTTTCTTTTATAAACTGTGATCATACGATAACGTACGTTTTTGATGTTTTTGAGCCATGTCACTGTAAAAAACCTTTATAACGTCCGTAATTTAGACTTTAAAAATTTTGTGTTCACAATAAACAACCTACATTAATATCACTATTATTATAAAAAAACTCTACGTTTTTCATAAAACAATTTTCAATTTTATCAAACTTCATTTAAAATTTAGTCAAAAACAGATTTAGTCAATTCTCATCGAGCGGTTTTATCGCCGGTTTTCTTTTATTTCGATTTTGGCGTTAGCTTTGGTGCGGTCGAGAATCTCGTAGACACGTTGTTAGAAGTTGAGAAGCCGCTCGAGCACAGCAACGACTTGTCTTTTGGACATGAATGTGAGTTGGGTTTGGAGTATATCTACTTTTATATTTTTTTGAAATTTGGGTTGTGTACTGAGACTTGGACGATAAAAAGAGTGTGATAAGGGCTCTTAAAAAAAATTTTTCAAAAAAAAATTTTTTTTGTGCATAAATTTTAACTTGGTCCCCCCCCTGTGGCTTCAAAAAATTGATTTTTTCAAAAATATTTTTTAGGAACTTTTAATACCCGTGTACGCACAGTTCTTTTTCACAAGTCTGGCCATGCTGGTTCATCTCAGTACGGGCTGTGGCAAGAAAAAACCTCCTCCGCCAACGCCTTCACAACAAGTCGCTGCGGCTCCAGCTGCTGCTGCTGCTCCCGCGAAATCGGAAGCGGGCGCTGCACCTGGTAAGATTTTTTACTTTTTTTACAAAATTATATTGAAAAAGCTATTAGTTTTGACATTACAGTCAAGGCAAATACGTATTGTAATCATAACTTTGATTTTTTTTTGTTTTTTAGGAATATTTAGGGATTTTTTGCCAAAATAAAAATTTTTTAAAGCGTTTTTCAATTAAAAAAAAATGTTGCAAATTTGTGAAGTACGTTTTGTTAAGCATGTAATATTGTGTACAAATTGAAAATTTCATAGCTATATCTTTTGTATTGACATAGTTGTACTCATTTTAAACATGCGAAAATCCAAAAAAGTTCGCTTCCTCTTGGAAACATTTGAAAATTTCTAATTCTTTATTACAACACACCCTACTTTTTCATTCAGTAACTTAATATATTACTCTATCTTGAACTTTAGGCCATATAAAAATGTTTTTCTTATAAAAAATAACTTGAATCTACTACAACATGTTCTAATTATGATACCTTCAGGAGCACCAAAGAGTGTAGGAGCTGCCAAACCCAAGGAGGAGAAGAAAAAGGATGCTTCCAAGAAGGATAAAAAGAAAGATGAAAAGAAGACGGACGAGGAAGATGGTGAACAACAATATGAAGACGTGAACGTCGGCGATGGCGCTCCACCTCCACCACCAGCCTAAACTTGAACCGGTTTTTACTAACATGGCCAATAAAAAGTTCCACTTGACTTTGAATTTGATTAAAAATAAATTTTAAAATACATAATTTGTGTTTTATGAATAGCGATCAAGTATTGAAGTACGTACTGCCACATGCAGCTTTTGGACGTTTTTTGTATAAAATGAAATTTTAAGTTTCGACTGATCTGTTTAGCTTTTTTTAGTTAAAAGTACGGATTTGCTTATACAGGATCCTTTTTTATGTTTGTTGTTGTAATTGTTTTTTGTTGTATTCAAGAACTACAGTAAAAATAATCAGTCTACCTTCAAATCTGTTCAATATAACACATGTTATGCAAATCCTATTATAATTTTTCGTATAAAAGCCAACAGATCAAGAGTATACCTATCATTCATTAACTTGTTTGTCCATTCCAACATGCGATCCTTCATCATCCTCCTTTTGGCCCTTTTGGCTGTTACTGCCTTTGGTAAGTTAAGCTGTAATATCAAAGTGTTACGGTCAAATTATCGTTAATATTGTAAATCAAAGAGATGACACGCGAAAAGCAGTCTCTAACGCAACGCCGATGCCTAAAGGTCGCGATATGGCTCTTTCAAAAGAGAGAGAGAGAAATTCGGACCTTAGGGAGCGGTCGGGTGTGTCTTGCGCTTATATATTTTATGATATACAGTAACTCTTTTCAATAATTCTTATCAATAAACTTTAATAATATATTTATCATTTGGACTGTATAATGTAAGGTATTAGGCGTACAGGGAATAGGTCTAGCGGGTCCGATCCGAACAGATCGGGGTAGCATGGGATTCTTATGATAAAGTAGGAAGGAGGGAGATAACTCAAACATAACCCTAACAATCCAACTTAATCAAAAGTTTATTTCGAATTCAGGAGCCGGTAAAAAGCCAATTCAAAAAGTGCCAGCTCATAAGCCTACAGCTCCAAAAGTTCCGGTCAAAGTCGGTACCAAAATTCCACCTGGTACTGGTGCCACTGTTGCTGGTACTACTTTTGTTGCTCCAGCTGAGACAGCTTCTACTGCACCACCTGGCACTGGAGCCACTGTTGTTGGTACTACTTTCGTAGCCCCAGCTTAGAAAGATTAATTTCTAAAGGCAACGATAACACTATTTAGTATTTTTTGTGCGCTATAGTTTCATTATTTATCTATCTATTCTCTATTATTTGATCAGAATAAAGTATGAATATTATTTATCAAACCTATGTTTTATAAAAAGTCAGATTATAGCTTTTTTTAAAGGCTTTTCATGACAGATTTTTCAGAGTTTTAAAGAAAAGTTGTGACTGATTACGGCTTTTTCTGGAGTTTTGCTGAATTATTCAAATTTTTATAAGTTCTTCCTCGTTTTTACCCTTTTACTACAATGACCAGTATGAAATTGCAAAGGTTTATAATATTACAATCCCGTATACTATATTTCAATATAGCTTTAAAAAATGATGTTTCTAAATGTATGTTTTACAAATTTTATTTTTTTTTACTTTTACATTTTTTCAAAATTAACAATTATATACAATAATACGATAAATGACCGTTATATACATATAAAACCGATTTTTAAAATTCAACAACTATTCACAATATTATAACATATTAATTAAGATATCGGACATTAGCTCTTCTTGGCCGCTTAGCGGCTTCAATTGGCTCTTCTTTGGCCTTCCGTTTTGTGGCCTTCTTCTCTTCTTCTTTGGGCTTTTCGGCTTCTTTGGCTGGCTTGTCTTCCTTCTTGGCTTCTTTTCTAGGACGTCCACGTGGCCTTTTAGCTTCTTTCTGTGGCTGCTTTTCTGGTTCCTTGGCTTCTTTCTCAATTTGTTCTTTGGCTTGGTTCTTGGCTTCAGAATTGATTTTTGGCGCCGCATTTTCGTCGTTTTCATCTTCATTATTTGCTTCCAACGTTGGCTTCAAGTGTTCGGCTATGTAAACGTCACCGAATCCTTCAAAGTCGTTCTTTTCGAACCAGCTTGTGTCGATTTCGTCAATGTAAAGTTCTTCTTTGGTAGGCACTAGTACTTTCAATGGAATCACCAGCTTCTTTAAAGCCAATGCTTCAAAATTCATTCTTTTGAAGAAGTCGAACTTTTTAAATTCGGCTAAGCCTTCTGAACCAGCCCGTTTTGTTGGATCCTTCTCTAGAAGCTTCTGAAGCAGTTTCTTCAATCCAGCGTCTGTGGATTTGGGCAAATCCAGCTTGTCTTCTTCAATCTACAAACAATAAAGTAAGTTAAATAGTATTTTGTTTAAAGTACAAGTTGTTTCATGGCCCAGTAGTATTATGTAATATTGTAAAGCTACAGTAATGTTGATTTACTGGTAAGTAGTGTTGTATAAAATACAGTACTACTACATATTATTGTGTTATTTTATTGTTGTAGTATTCTTACCTGTCTCCACAGCTCCTGAATGTCCCGCGAGTCGAACGGAATCTTTCCAAAGTGCATCTCGTGGATCACAATGCCAAGTGACCACCAGTCTACCATCCATGTGTACCCTTTTTGTGGGTAGTAGCCTTCTGGAGGCAGGTGCGTCGTTGTACCCGCAAACGTGAACATCAGCGTCTCCTTCTTCACGTTGCTCTTGGTGTAGCCGAAGTCGATCAACTTGATGTATCCATCCCGGTCCATCATGATGTTCTCGGGCTTCAGGTCACGGTACGCCATACCCCCACAGTGTAGATAATCGATGGCCAACACTAGCTGGGCCGCGAAGAAGCGCGTAAGCGTAAGTGGTAGCTTTTGGCCCATTCTTTTCACCCATTGAAGGTAGGCGAATAAGTCACATCCGTCTACCATGTCCATCACCAGATGAATCAGATGCTTGGACTCGAAGCTGTAGTACAACTTTACAAAGAACGTGTCGTCTAGCTTCTTCAACACTTCAATTTCCGTCTTCACTTGGCCCTTGGCGGCCTCACTTCTGTACGCATTTGCCTTCTTCAGGCATTTCATGGCGTAGTTGACGCCCGCGTCGACTCCGCCAATTTTCTTTACAACGGAAACCTAGAATAACAGGTTATAAATGTGTGTTTTAAAATTTTTGGTTTTACTTGGTTAATCATAATAGGTAAATAACATAAATAATAGTCAATCTGCCATTGAAACATGCATTATATAAATTTTTTTGATTCATTATATAAATTTTTTTGATCGCATTTAAAACCTTTAAATATTTAACAGAAACCATATCTATGGACTTTTTGACCAAATTTTTGTTTTTTACTAGTTATCATTAATTACAGTACTAATATGTCAAAAAAATGTAATAGAACGTTGATGACTATTAGTTATTTCATTTTTTGACACATTTGCAAAAAATGGCTTTATGAAACTTTGAAATGGCTTTACAATGTTGCAACAGTAATATTCAGACATGGGTTTTGTGCCGAAGCGACAAAACCCATGTTTGAATATTACTGATAACTTAAGTACTACAGAAATCGTCAAAACATTCAAGAATCTATTATAAATACTATTCAAAAGGTAATTTACAAGATTCACAGCCAAATCCTTCACGGAAAGACAGAATCAAAGTTAAAGCCATTTCAAAGTCGATAAAAGCTTATTTTACAGTTTTGAAAATTTTCATAGCTTAAAGACTACAAAAATTACCAAAACTTTCAAGAATCCCAATATAATTCACAAAGTACTTACCAATCCGAATCCACCTTCGCCGAGGTACTTGATGTGCTCGAAGTTAGCAGCGCTCAAGGAGGAAGACATTTTTAATAAATTTAATTTATTAATCACAATAAAAACAAACACAACAGTATTTCAATCACTGAGAAGTGACAAATGAATTCATATTTTTGGTTAGGTTTCTCGAAAAGGACGCGAAAATCAGTACATAATTTCCGGTGTCAATGTCGGAAGTGTACTTTGGCCGTTGGCTAACAAAAGATATTGATGCGCAATCAAAAAGTTCGTATACGAGGAAACAATTTAACGCGCCATAAAGACATGAGGGCATTTGAAACAATTTTGAAAAGAAAGAAGGGTAAGATATCAGAGATATCATTGAAAGCTAATTTTTTATGTTTACATCCGTTTTTACGACAAATTAGGTTACTTATCTTAATATATCTTGATTTTTTAAAATTTGGTTGATAAAGAAAAATAATGGAAGGCTAGTCAAGTCAGACGAGCCCTAGCCAACATTGAGACGAGAAACAGTAAGTAAAACACTCACAACAACTTTAATTTAAATTTTTAACACATATCTTCATTTGTGCTTATTTGCCTTAAAACAAGCTTACAATGTGCCAAATTTGAATTTGTTACTTTTGATAACAACAGAGATATGATAACATATGTAGACTTTACGTATGCCAAATTGTACTTTAAAACCTATGTTATGCCCTGTCAAAGTGCACCTATAGTTCATACTAAATTTCAATTTTTTCGTAAAAATTTGAGTTTCAATTTTTTTAGAATGCCATATCAAAGATTGGTCAGAATTGTTGTAGTCGATCTTCGTTAAGCTGTGGTGTTGTGGAATCGACCGGCTTTTCAGTTACACTTTCACGTCGGCTTTGGTGCGGTCGAGAATCTCGTGGACACGTTGTTTGAAGATGAGAAGCCGCTCGGACCTAGTGACGACTTGACTTTTGGACAAGAATGTAAATTTAAAAACCTAGAACATTGTGAGAAGTTGTAAACTTTAAAGTTCAAGCCTAGCAAATTAATAGTCAAGCCTAGTATTCACCTTTTTTTCAGCCAAGTGTACTGGAACAAAAGGCTGAACAGGCAAGCTATAGACTTAAGTTAAGACACGAAAAATCATTCACACAAAAATTAAGTAGTCGTTTTTATTGGCCAAGTCAGTAAAAGTCAGTATGAGTTTAGGCCGGTGGTGGTGGTGGGTTGAAGTCGCCGACATTCACGTCTTCATATTGTTGTTCGCCATCTTCCTCGTCGCCGCTCTTATCTTCCTTCTTTTTATCCTTTTTGGAACCATCCTTCTTCTCCTCCTTCTTGGGTTTGTCGCCTGCTGTGCTCTTTGGTGCATCTGAAAATAAGCGTATTTTAATCTTTTTCAAACATAAAAGTATATGATTAAAGTACTTGCTAACACAACAGTCGGTTGTTACATTATTTTAGCTCAAACTAAATGTATTTTAAAGAAAATTTAAAAATTTGTGATTATTTCAAAACGGAATCCATCTTTTTCAAGCTTACACAATCTTAAACTACACATAACTTTTTGAATAATAAACATATGAATAAAAAACTTTCAGTTTATATACAGAACTTTATGCTTAACAAAAGGTACTTTTAAACGAATTTAAAAAAAAATAGGCAAAAAATTTTAAAAATCGAAAAAAGTGTTTGTTCTCTTCCAAAAAATTACGTTACGCTCAAGTTTAGACTGATCATAACTCAGTAAAAAAGCGAAATACATATATGTAATTTTCAGCTTATACACAGTACTACATGCTTAACAAAACGTATTGCACAGATTCTTAAAAAAGTAAGCAAAAATTTTAAAAATAGAAAAAAAGTGCCTGTTCTCTCCGAAAAAATCCAAAATTTTGGACAAAACTCCCAAAAAATCGTCAAAATAACTAATAATATTAGACTCAAAAGTACGGCATTTAAAATAGGAAAGAATTAGAAATAAGGAGCAAGACTGAAAATCAAGGCCCGGCCCGTTTTCACAAAAAAAAATTTGTACCGAGCCGGGCCTGAGCAAAATTTTGATCGGCCCATTCCTCATGTCTAGAAAGAGTAAGGTAGGCAAGGGTAAGGTAGTGACAAAACTACCAACCCTTTTACCTTACTTTAACCAAAAAACAAACTATCTTACCAGGAGCTTTGCTAGCCGACTTTGCAGCAGCCCCAGCCGCGGCAGGTGGTGGAGCGCCTTGTTGTGAAGCCGGTGCTGGAGGAGGTTTTTTCTTGCCACAGCCTGATGTGAGATGGCCCAGCGTTGCAAGGCATGTCAAAAAAAACTCTGCGTAGACAAGAATGAGGAGATCCTGAAAAAACAAAAAAAATTAAAAAAGCATTTTAAGAATTTTAAAAAAGCTTCAAAAAGTTTTACATTGCCAACCTTTAGCCGGTCCAAGTACCAAAAGTACCATTAAAGTACAATTTTTAGTATCAACAGCATCAAATCTCAAAAGTACAGAAAGGGTACTGTAAAATACAGTAAAAAATAAACTCACATTCATGGCTTACGATAAAGACGTCGCTCGAGCGGCTTCTCAACTCTAACAACGGATGCTCGGCTTCACGACCGCACCAAAGCGAACGCGATACGGGAAATGAACCACTGCCGATCGTGGTCGACACCAATTTAGTATAATGAAAAATTTTTTGAAATGAAATTTTTCTTTGGATTCTCATTTCGAAAAAAGTACAAATTCAAAAATGACTTTTTTTAATTTATGCAAATTTTTTTCTGAAACCTTGAATTTGAATCACTTCCCATTAGACATGGGAAACGGGCCGGGCCCATTTTTCAGGCCCGGCTCAATCTAAATTTTGCTTAGGGTCAGCCCGGCCAGAATTTTGTTTACGTGCAAACGAGCCGGCTTTACGGGCCAGGCCTTGATTTTCAAGACCAGTCCGATGGTAAGCCTGACCTGTGAATACCCTGCCTACTTTACCCTGTTCTGCACTATCGTTCCCCACCAAATTCTACTTTACTTTACCCTATCATATCTTACCCTAAGTCAGTAGTATATTTATTGTGATTTCACTTGATTATAATGTAAATTTAGAAAAAAATATTTTAAATTTTAAAAATCAGACCAGACATTCTCACGAAAAAACGAATGTTACAGTACATTTCACAGTAAAATATTAAAAATTAAAATCTACATACGAAGAGACATATTATGCAAACGAATTTTATAGTATTTTAGAGCTTATACATATACTTAACTGTTAAAAAATTAAATTAATCGACGTATTTTAACTTTAACTACTATACAATATATTGTTTTAGGTAACAGTAGTGTAAAAAGTTTAAAAAGGCTAAAATATACTTAAAATAAAGTTGAAAATAAAAAATAGATTCAAAATGAGAATTATACAGCTAAATTACTTAAATCAAGATTACATTTCTATACGGGATCGTTTTGGAGTTGGAGCATCCTCCACCTCTACCTTAATATCATCAGGGAATTGGGTGGGACTTTTGGTGGAGTTGGTTGAACTAGGACCACTTTGGTGGTCTTCTGGCGGAGATTGGGTTATCTAAAAAGAACTTAAATTAGTTTTGCTTATAACAGATAAAACAATATATATTTAGGTAACAATTCGCGACGTTTGAGTGATTCAAGCTAAAATAATGTCAAAAATCGACTGGTAAGTACTTTATCTTGCTTTATTTTTGTTGTTATAGGTAAAATTCTTAATATTTCGACAAATTAAAGACTTTTCATTATTTACCGAGCGTCATTTTTTAGGTAACATCTTGATATTGTTTTGGCGCAAAATTTAGATAACAGTCAAGAGTAAAATCTTGGTTTCAAGTTTAAAACAAAGTGAATTTAATTGCTGTAGCATGTTTTAAGTAGCTTTAGGTATAATTTCAGTCGAAAACAAGCTAAAATTGTTTTGGAATTTCATCTAAAACAATATCCAACGCTTTGGCCGAAGAAAACAAAGAATTTAGCTTGTTTTGCACAATGAACTTCTACATAAAGGTTTTAAAAACATTCTACAACATTTTATCAACTGATTCTCCATGTTTTTCGCTCCAAAACCAGACATAACTTTCAATAGTTACCTAAACATAGTGCTAAAGCAACTTCAAGCTGTTGAAATAAAACACTCGAAAGATGAAGAAAAAGTTTCCAATTCCTTGAAATAAAAAGTCTATACCTAAAACAACAAAAACAAAACAATATAAACTACATACCAATCGGCTCTGGATTTTGTTTTAGGTTGAATCTTGCTGGTGGGCCAAAGGTTATTGGAAACGAAACCGTTTTGTTCTAAGACTGTCAGGTTTTATAATAACCTTTAGATAAAAGCTAGGTATAATTGAATTGTAAAAGAAAAACTATATTTAAAATAGAAAAACGCAGAATTTAGCAACGATTCGCCAATGTTATACATGAAAAAATATTTTTCAAAACTTTTTTTCCCAAAATATCGCTGAATTTGAAACAGAACGCCAAATGAATGTTACATTATGACATCTTACAGCCCCGAAAAACATTTTTTAATTAGACAACCTACGAAGACTTCTAAATTAATCATTAAAACAATATTAACCATGTGATTTATGTGAACAACCTAATATTATCCTTACCGTCAAAGGCAACGCTCCAACCTGTCTTCTGTATTTGTAAAAACAGTCTATACATCTTGGCTCGTCCAATCCAGCACTTACCACCAGGAACTCTTGAGTACGTTCACACGATTTACAATAGTTTTTCTCATCCGTCGACAATGTAGAGCCAGATCGTTGAGAATGTTCATCTCCGAAGCTGTGGTTTCGTTCGATTGCCCTCAACGGTGTTGCTGCCAGAAGATGCGCCTTCATTTGAAGTCGTTTCTGTTGGTTTTGGCGAATTCGTTGAAGTTCGAAATTTCGTTTTTCTCTCTGATTCGCGGCTTTGGCCAAGGATTCGGCGTCGAACACGGCGTGAGAAGCGGTTTGGGGAGAATCACTGTGGAGGCGGGAGTTGACATTGTTTTTTAGGCTGAAACATTCAATTTTGGATAGAATTTTTGAAATTTCTGACATATCTTTGATAGATTTAAGATTATTACGTACTTGGAGGCTAAATAGATCAAGCTTGGGAAGGGGTGGTGTAGAAAAAAGCAATTTTTATGTTGGGGTTGTGTAAGAAATCAATTTTGTTAGCCAATAAGTTACATAAGGCAAGAAGAAGATCAGTTTTGATTGGAGCGTGGGAGATAGGATAAGTTTTGACCACATATTATAGTAGACTTACTTCTGAACTGCCTGAATCAAGGAATTTCGTTCGAATTCCAAATGTTCTACATAATTGTTTGGACCAACCTTTTCTTCACATATAGGGCATGTTATGTTTCCTTCATTGTCGCATATCAGCTCTGAAATGTGTAATTTTTTGTAAAATACGGTTTTGTCAGTGTGTTTTTGTAAATTTTACTTTGATTTCAATGTAATTTACTGTACATTTTTTAAATTTTGATTTTTGTGGGAACCGTGTCGGGAAGAAACTTTTTGACGTCAGGGTACCCTAAGCATAGCCTAGCCAGATCGCTAGTCCAGAGCCCTAGCCCACAGCCATAGCCCAGAGCCGTAGCCCAGAGCCCTAGCCCAAAGCCCTAGCCCAAAGCCCTAGCCCAGAGCTCTAGTCCGGAGCCCTAGTCCAGAGCCCTCGCCCAGAGCCCTACTCCAGAGCCCTAGCCCCACATTCTACTGTATTCCTTACCACCCAACCATATATACCGCAGTAATAAACCCCCCTATTCAGTCAACCCACAAGGGTGATTTACGGCAATAAATATTTTTCTTTTGCGCCGTTTTATGCAAATTAATACATCTTGAGTGTCGTAAAATAAAGCGATCCAGAGAACGCAGTAAACAAGAAGAGGTCGTATGTTTATTAGGACATAAAAGATACCACCGCTTAATTAATCGCTCGTTTGTTGCCGAATAGGATATATTAGGTTACTATGGGGATTTGTGGAGAAATTAGGGTGATTTATAGTTAAAAAATTTTTTTTATTTTAGAGACTTTTAGACCTAAAATGGGGCATTTTAAACACATTCTGGCGAAAAAAAGTAGTTCTGCTTAGGTTTAGGCCTAAAAGAGGGCGTTTTAAACTTAAATAAACATTGACCTGATAAAACACAGTCTTACTTAGTTTTTGACCTAAGGAGGGGTATTTCAGAAGCTCAAAAACGTTTTTCTACAGACTTTCAGACCTAAAAAAACGTATTTTGCATAAATATTGGCTAAAAAAGGCTGCCATACCTAGTTTTTCACCTAAAAAGGTCTTTTAAAATTTAAAAAACAATTTTTCCATGGACTTATTGACCTAAAAATGACTATTCTATGTCCGTTCAGACCAAAAAATACAAAAAATTTTAAACCCTACCCCTCAAAAGAATGTTTTTTTTCATTCACCCCTACTCCCACATTCACCATCCCACTCCTCTCCCCTTTTCACCACCCCACTCCCCACGCTACCCTACCCTCGTTCCTTTATCTCCTCACCTATCTCCCTCTTTCTCTTACTCTCCCCTCCACTTTCTTCCACTCTCCCCTCCTTCATCACCCCACCCTACTTCTATACCTATTTTAGAACCTCCCCCCCCCCTCTACTACCTAATTAAAACCAACTGATCCGCGACAATACTGTAGCCAGATTAAAACTTAAATCGCGCGAAAACGGAGCGATTTGTCTCTTTGTCAGTCGTTTTTTTTCATTTCACCGTTCTTTGGCGGCGCACCGTGATGGATTTGTTTCCGTTTCAATTTCACGGTCAATTATTCGAGTTGTCGCTAGATTTTTAAATTTTTTTTGGCATGGTAATTAAACGCGCGTTAACGGTTTGAAGTTAGTTGGAGATTCAGAAACGAGTTGAGGTGAAGATGGAGTACAGTAGAGTTTATGGGGTTAGAAATTGCAGAAAGTTTAGATTTAAAAAGGCTAGTCCATAGGCTGTTATTAGGTTCACGAGTATAATATTTTCAAAAACCTGGACTAATTAGACCTTAAAGGGGTCCACTAGGCCCGCCCCAGCACCGGGCCGAGCTGGGCTTTGATATAAAGAGCCAAGCCAGGATGAATGGTTGGGCCCGGCCTGGCATCTTCACAGATCTAGGTCAAAGGTTAGGGTTCAACGGCGGAAAATCAAATTTAAAATCAATTATCACTTTGTCTGCGCCATCCAAGAAGAGCCCTTTTGACCTCAGTACCCTAGTCTAGCACTAGTCCTAACAAGCAAAATTTTAAATTTTAAAACATACCTAAATTGCTAAAGTCATTTTTAAACATTACTACAACAATAAATTGTACTAGTAGTGACACTACATTAGCTAAAAAATGATTGTATTAAATTCCACGACTACAGCCTTTTTTATAAGTAGATATTAATGTATACGTCTTGAAAGTCATTTACATTCTTATGACTTCTGGAGAAGCTACTTGTTTTATAATTTAATATATTACCATTGATAAGACAAGAGCTTCGAGAACAATTACAGCCCAGATCCCTAGCTCAGAGTCCTAGCCCAGTGCCCTAGCTCAGAGCCTTAGCCCAGAACCCAAGCCCAAAGCTCTAGCCCAGAACTCTAATCTGTAGCCCTAGTAGACATGGCAAACGGGCCGGGCCGAGGCCCGCGTCGGCCCGTTTTTTGAATTTTTTTTCCCGCCAAGTCCATATCTCAAAAACTGTAAGAGCTATCAAAATTTTAAGATCATTTGGATGGGGTAGCACCCAATAAAACATAGGGGTAGAAAAAGTTTCAGATTGACTTGATAAGTAGAAAAAAAGCGCGGAAAAAAAAATTCAAAAAACGGGCCGACGCGGGCCTCGGCCCGGCCCGTTTGCCACGTCTAAGCCCTAGTCAATAGCCCTAGTCAGTAGCTCTATTTGAGAGCCCCAGCCGAAGTCTTTAGCCGGCAGGCCTTGATTGTAACCCTAGCCAGTAGCTTTAGGGTAGTTTCTTTGTGTCTTTGTTGTGGTTAATTTATAACTGGGTTTGTCTTTATGTTATCATTCTACTTATTTGTCCATGTACTCTTCTTTACCATCTTCATCGACTGTTCATTCCACCCCCCCCTCCTTGAAGAACCTCTACCTCACTGCTCTTCAATCGTCTTCAATTCGAATCACTTTGTCTCTCTCTCGCAACAATGACTGATACCCACAAATTGTAATGAATAAATTACCCAAAGACGCGGACCAAATTCCAGAGTCTTTATTTGGACATCTTTGTTTTCCATATTTACGCATTCAATGCGTATGCAAATTTGAAGCTTCTAACATAAAAGAAGAAAAGCAGTCGACTGCGACGACGGTAAACCATGATTTACTACGGTAAGAAGAAAAGGGCATGACGACATTAAAAGTTTGAAGAGGGGGGGGGAAGAAGGTAGAGGGAAAAAAAAGAGATACCCGACTCTACCCTACCCTACCCTACCTCACCCTACGTTTTTTACCTTACCCTGCCCTACCCTAGCCCTCCCACTTTTTTTCACCCTACCCTGTCCTACCCTACTCATCTTTACATTTTTCACCCTGCCCCACCAACCCCGTTCTCTTCCAAAAGCACCTGCCCAATACCTATTGTCATGCCAATTCACCGTATTTGGCAACATAATATGCCATTAAATTTACCGTTTTGCCCATTAAACCTTATTGTCTTCCCGAGACTGTGCCTACCATAACAATAAAAGTTATAAGGATTAAGATTGGGAAAACAAAGACTGCCATTTCGAGACAGCTGGGATCAGATATTGCGCAATAAAATTAAAACAAAGACAATAAAAGTGTAATACGAAAGAGGAGGGTTAAGTTTGTTTAGGGAGGTGATGTTTATATTAAGACATTCTGGTGAATGACAGTGTAACAAATGTATTGAGCAATTGTAAGTAAAAAGATTAGGTTAACATTAACAAAACTATGATTTTATACCATTTGGTAAAGGTGCTTAAATCTATCATCAAAATCTCTAGCGATAGGCCTAGGCAGTAGTCACTAACCAGTAGCCCTAGTCAATAACCCTAATTCTAAACAGTAGCCTTAGCCCTAGTCATGATTTCCTTTTTGTATGTCATGTGTCAAAGCCTGTCTTATCATTTAACAATAATTGACAAGGTTTGTCAAGGACTACACGAGTACTATTCAACACTATTTTTTCTTACCAACTTCTAAAATTTCAAAAAAATTTTGAAAAATTCAAATTTTGATGCCATTTGATAGTCGTGCTAACATTTTGTCAAGTTTTTCTTGTTTTGTATTGTATGTTAAAGCCTTGCTTGCTCTCTCATAGGTATTGCCAAAGTTTGTCAAGCACTAGTAGTACTATTGTGCTCCATTTCCCTATTGAAACTCCCTGAATTTTGCAAAACTTTAATATTAAAATCAATTTCTATGCCATTTTCTATCTAATGTTGCTCCTTTTTTTCATGATTTTCTTAAGTTACACAGTGCTTTGGTATCTTGGCTGCCATTGTATAGTAATAGTCAAACTTGTTCAAGTATTACTAGTACCATTTTGCCTCATTTTACCTTTTTAACCCCTTCGCTTTCACACAGTTTTCCGAAAAGATTTCATGATTTTTACTGCCATTTGTAAGTAGACCAAAACTTTTTTGCAAAGATTTTCTTGTGTTATAATGCACGTTAGAATCTTGTCTATTTACTGGTATTAATTTTCATTTTTTGAATACCACTATTACTATTATGCCTCATTTTAGCTCATCAACCCACTACATTTTTCACAAAATTCTGTAAGAATTTAATATTTTAAGCCATTTTTTTGTTGTGCCAAAGCTTTTTAGATGTTTTTCTTGTTTTATATTATGTGTGAGAGTCTTGTCCTTTCATTTGATGATTATATTCATGTTTATCATTTGGTACCAGTACTACTTTGTCCCATTTTCCCTTCAAACCCCCCACACTATTCAATCTCAAGAATTCTCAATTAAATTTTGGCTAGCCTACGGTAGCCCAGTAAATTTATTACCCGCAAAACAACAAATTCATCTCCTCGAAACGACGGGGTAATGAATTTGGCCAAATTGTAAGATTTATTCTACAGTAAAGTTATTTATGGTCTACATCCCCGCCGGGCTGGATTTTCTTTTGAAGTCGAGCCGAATATGAAAATTGAGGATTTATATTGAGTTGGAAGTTGAAAAAGCATTTTTTATGGGTTTGTTTGTGCAGACAAGTCTTTCGGGACGCATTAACGGATCTGCTATAAAGTTATTCAAGTTGTAGCGAAATTTGATTAAAGGGGGGGGGGAGGGAGGGAGGGAGGGGTAGGGACTGTGAGGAGGGATGGCAAAGCAAAGTCAGAAAATGGGACAAAGTGGTACAATTAGTGCAAAGGTTTTCAACTTACCCTGCCCTATCCTTCCAATCATGCACCCACCCTCCCTTCTCGTTCTCCCTAGCAAGCGTAGTGCTTCTTTTTTATCTTACTTTACTTTATTCTACCCAACCCTGCCTTCTTTTATCTCCCGTGCCAACCCCCCCCTAAAAACATAGCCTCCCTTTATCCACTTACCCACCGTAACCCATCCCCTCTTTACGGATCCATTTCCCAAATTGGGTAACAATAAAACCGACCCAATTAATCTCATGCTCTGCCATTCTTCATTTCACTCTCGAATTGCGCAACATTCTCGGCTGCCAGCGAAAGGACGAGCGGCCCTTGTTTGGCGGCGCCTTTGAAGACCTCTCAATTCACACTTCAACTCTCGATTACATCCGGCCAAGTCTCAAGATCTATCATTGTCAGCGGGGAAAATACTGTCTTCAAGGAGGGTTGGGGACAGTAGAAGTCTTGTCAGCACAAAGGGACTGTCTTTAAAGAGGCTTGGGGACAGTATCTTCGTGATACTTGATGAAAGTAGCATCAGCACGATATACTAAAGGCTTGCTCACAGTACCTTTCATTTCTGATACCTGCCTTTTCTAACTTTCAAATCCACCTCCTCCTACTGTATATTTGTCCCCTTTCCCCTACTGTAACTCTCAAATGCACTCCCCCAAAACGAATGTTTCAAAAAAATCGACCGCCGGCTTTAGTCATGCTTCGACTCATCTCCACCCCGACTCTCGACCGATCCTAAAACAAACGCTGAATCAGAGCGCCCGTGCCGTGCCTCAGTTAACTGTTTCATAGTTAAACAGACATGAATTGTTTTGTAAAGTGCGAATGAAAAAGAGACAATGGGTTAGTTGAGACGGTAGAGATTTGAGTAAAAATTGCAAAAATTAAGGCGAAAAGAGCTAAAATTTTGAAAAAAAGCGAATTTTAAGCCTAAAAAAGAGCAAGTCTAACATAACAATACAATAATCTAGCTTCACTAGTATCTTAGCTATACGTAAAAACCTATTCCAAGCTCGATCACACCCGCGATCTTCTAATAAAATCATTTTCTAACCTTCCACTACCTCCAAAAACACTATTAGCACTCAAAACTCTTCAAAATCCAGAAATTCCAAATAAACCTACAGTAATCCATCTTCCTAAACCCCTCTCCATATGCTACTAAAGATTTCGCCGCAGTTTACAGGTCACTGACTGCTCAGTTTCTTTTATATTATGCGATTCCTGACATTACTGTATGCTTTCGTATCTTGACCCATTCGAATTTGACTTCATTTTTCATATGGTTACAGTAATCCTGTAGATTTGAAAATTTGTAACAATGCTCAGAACAGACTTAAAAACTCTGTGGTGCCAAAAATTTGCATTGAGAATGGAATATAATGACATAAAATGCCATCAAACATCAATATATTACCCATACCAAAATTTATAAATTTTAGAAAAAACTGTTTTTTACTGCCCTTTAATGTAGCTCAATATACTTAATCTTTGTCACTATAATAAAACAGCTTATTTACTATCATATTACATCTAATTCACCCCATCTAATTATTTATTTGCATCTTTATCGCACTTTATATTGAGATAGGTCAATAAACTCAATGAGATATAATCTTATTATCTTCGTGTCTTTATATAAACTTTAAAAATTTTTCGTCGCTAATTTACACTAAATACTCTATAGACTCTGTATTTTCATATTCAAATTAAAAAATAGTCATTTTGGTACTTTTTGGAGCTGTTTTATTGAACATAGTACTGAAAACCTAAGTTTTGCACGGTGCAATCTAATTAAAAGTGATTGCACCGTGCAGTATTTATGCAAATTTTAAACTTTTTTTACTTTTTTAGATTCACCAAGTCTTGACTATTCACAAATTTACCGCAAACCCCAACTGCGACGAATTTGTCGCAAAAATTGGGAATCAAAAGTTTTTGCCGCGATTAATCTGTCGCTGCTTTGAAGTGTTAATTTATGATCATAAGCTGCGTAATTAACAAAAAACCGGTTGATTTATGTTCATGAGCTTCAGTTGCTACTGGAATTTTACAACTTTCAGTGGGTTGTGATATTAAGGTTGGCAAAAGGCGGTTATTTACTTTAAAACTAGAAAATTACGAAAAAATGATGTAAAGATGGTATATTGTAATTTTACTGCGCAGTAAAAATTATTTGTGGCTTGAATGGCATTGTATACCTTGCCATTTATCCAATTTTTGAAAAAAATTTCGAAAAGCGACAAAAATCACTTTTTTTCTGCACCGTGCAAGACTGCACTCTGCAGAGCCAAAAATCTGCCATAACTTTTAAACCGCGTTAAAAACTTTAATAATTTCTTAACATTTCTCTTCTCATGTCATCTTTAACCTCTCCTATAAAAATCATTTACCCAACCCTATTTACAACCCCGATTACGGTAACCAAACCCCAGTCCACAGTGCATTAACGCACAGTGCGCGCGAAAATCTGTCATTTTATTGAACTCAAACTGCATCTAACGGCTGTTATAGTTCCGATTGTCACGGTAAAGCCATCGTAGCAGATGGAAGTGATGTAATGAATCGTTTCCCATAAACCCAAAACAAATAAGCGACAGTTTTTAGGGGCCACAGATCCAATTTGCAGCCAAAGGCCATAAAACTCATAGAGGGGGCTCTTGTCGCACTAACAATGCGACAAGAGTCAAGGATTTTCATTACATTACTGGGAAAGAGAAGAATAAGGCCTCAGGGCTTTGGGCGATGAGAAAATTTTAATTTTTCAAAATTTTAAATTAAAAAAAAAATTTTTTAAATTTTTAAATCTCTTCAAAATCAAACTTTTAGATAATAAATAATCTTTTAAAAATGTAAAAACTGACTTTTAGCTGCAGCTCCAGGGCTAGCTGGGTTCATGGACATTGATGTTGAAGATGCTCGACTTTCTGACTCTGAAATTCGAAAAAAGGTTTAAAAAATCGCAAAATATCAAAATATTTTTAAAAATAATAAAATGGATTGTATTGGGCTCCGTATTTTACCTATATTTCGCTAAAAAACCTTTAAAATCCTAAAAATTAAAGAAAAACTTTAAAAAATGAGTAAAAATGCCTAAAAAATTCAGAAATTTAGTTTTTTTTCTGCAGAACTTTAAAAATTTTTCTATAATACGTCCGTATTTTACAAAGTGTTATTTCAAGATGCTATGCTTTACTTCAAAAAATCTTTAAAATTGACCAAAAACCATTAAAAACTACCAAACATTAGAGAAAAACTCCAAAAAAAAGCATAAAATTGGTCAAAAAAATAAAAATTTTAACTTTTTTTTGTGTCAACTTCATGTTATCAACTCCGTATTTTACAAAATTTCAGTTTAAAATGGTATGCTTTACATAAAAAATTTTATAAATTGACCAAGAATCGTAAAAATCGACCAAAAAACCTCTCAAAAAAAGGGGAAAAAAATTCAAAAAAAGGTTAAAATTAAATTAAAACTTCAAAATGTTAAACTTTTATTCCGAAATGTTACCCAAAAATGCTAATCCTTATTTCAGAAATCTTAAAAATTGACTAAAAAATATAAAAAACGACCAAAAATTAAGAAAAATGGTCAAAAAAATCATAAAATTTGTCGAAAACATCAAAAATTTTTAAAATTTATCATGTTAAAACGTATTTTACTCAATTTTGTCCAAAAATACCCTGCCCAACCTAAAATTCTAACAAAAAAAAACATACACAAATTAAAATTCCACCAAAAAAAGCCATGCCCGACCTAAAAATTCTTCAAAAATAACTCCAAACCCCTAAAACTACCTCTAAAACCCTTCAAAACCCCCAAAAACTCACCATGAACACCACTAGGCGACGCTCCATATTGCACTGACTTCATAAACTGTTGCATTAACGGCGACATCGCATAAGGACTGGAGCTTGTCGCTGGCGAGAACAGTGAGTTCAAGTTGAAGTTTTGAAAGTTTGAAGTTGGCACTGGATTTGGGGTGGAAGGCGAGTTCTGCGATGTCGTTGTTCTGGCAAAGGCCGCGTTCAGGAATGGCGACAATGGTTGGGTTGTGTTCGCTGTGGCCATCTGAAGGTGGGGGTTTTTAAATTTTGAAATTTTAAAAATTTGTAGAATTTCGAAATTTAAAAATTAAAAAAAAATTTTTTTTTGCGACAAAAAATTTTTTTTTCACGACAAAATTTTTTCCTTCAATAAACCGCAAAAACCCCAACTTTTGTGGCCATAACTCCTTCGTTTGGCCCGCGCGACACGCACTTTTTTTTTGACTCACGCGACACGATCGTTGGTCGAGTCATCGCGATTGTTGCAACAAGAACAATGAAAGAACCTGAACCCGCACTGGCAAAGTTCACGCCAAAAACAATAATCGCGGCTTCTTTTGGACCGAAAATGACAGTTTTTGGGCCAAAAAGTTCATTATACGGTCCGCGACAAAAACATATGGTAATCAGGGTTGGGGGTGACAAGAGAGGTGTTTGTAGGGTTGGAAATGACAAAATGAATATTTGTTTTTTAAAAATTTTTAAAATCTTGGTCTTGTGCCGTTTTAAATCACCTTTTAGCTAAAAATTGACTTTGCACCGTGCAAAAGATCTTTTTTAATCCTTTGCACAGTGCAAATCCTTTTTTGGTTTAAAAATCCCACTGCACAGTGCAGTCCTTTTCTCAATTTTCTTTGCACCGTGCAAGGATGCTTTTAAGGGCTTGCACAGTGCAAACCCCTTTAAACCCCACTGCACTGTGCAGTTCCTTCCCCCAATTTCTTTGCACTGTGCATTCCTTTAAGAACTGCACTGTGCAAACCCCAAAACCCTCTTCTGCACAATGCAACACTTTCGTGTCGCGACAAATTGAAAAATGAACCCAAAAGCGACAAATTTGCTCACTCACCACAGCGACAAACAAATGAGCGACAAAAAAGTGCAAAAAACGTTGGCGACAATGTGAAGGGTTGATTTGCGACATTTGAGATGATTCAGTGGCAACATTCCAGACGTTAAAGAATTTTGTCGCTGAATGAAATTTGAGAGTTTGTCGCGGAAAAAAAAGAAATTGTCGCAGAGCAATGTCGCAATGATTTTGTCGCAAAAACTTTGAGGAAAAACTCGCGATTGTCGCAAGAAAGCTTGTCACAAGCCTTCAAAAAGACATTTGTCGCAGAAAAAAGGCAGTTGTCGCGACTTTTTGTCGCTCCCCACCACCTCCAACCCAAGCCTTATCGCTGCTAAGCACCCCAACCCAAGCCCTGTCGCCACGACACTTCATGGACCTCATTTGGGGAGCCAATCGGCAGTTGCGACAAAATGAAGAAGAGTCTTCTCGACAATGAAGACAGTGCGACAAGAAGAAAGAGAGTTTGCCGCACTTCCACCAGAAGCTCCGCCCCCTTTTGTGGAGTTCCTCATCCAGTGCACTTCGGACAGCCACACCACAGCCAATCAGCGAGCGGGACAAGCACTGTGCAGAAGGTCACGCCCCCTTTCGCACCGTGCAGTTTGTTTTGTGAGGGTTTGGGATGAGAAATGAGGGACTGGTGAAGCTGCTGAGTGGGGAAAAGCGACAGTTAAGGGATGGGGTAAGGGGATAGTTAAGGGGAAGATGGTGAAGAAGGTAGAGGGGATTCTGAAGAGTGTTTTAGACTACGTATGGCTTCAGAAGAGCGATTTTTTAGAGAAAAAAGCCGTTTTTTGAGGGGAAACGGGGAGAGAAAGTCGATTTTTAGGTAACAAATAGTAGGAAATTAAAAAATCTGTAAAATACAAATGATGTAGAAGAGTCTAAAGATTTAAAAAAAATATTTTTGGGATAAGCGACAACGTTTAAAATGGCATTTTTATTTATTAAGGAAAATGCAAAAAAAACCGATTTTTCAAGGGAAAGTCCGAGAAAAAAGTTAAATTTAGGTAACAAAAAGTAGGAAGTTAAAAGATCTGTAAAATAAAAATGATGGAGGAGATCCTAAAGATTCTAAAGAAAATATTTTTTGAAACAGCGACAACTTTAGAAAATGTTTTCATAGCCTAAGCTTAAAAATCTGATATTTTAAGGAAAAAATGATAAAAAGATCAAGCTTAAAGCTAAGAAAAGCTTGTTTAGACTAAAAATTAGCCCTGGCTTTAACCCAGAGCTCCAGACCTAACCCTATCCCTAGCTCTATCCAAAGCCCAGAGCTTTAGAACTGGGCACATAGTACACTATCATTACTGAGTAATGTATAATTTGGCGATGAAAAAAGTAGTCAAGTTAAATCTGATTAAAATGAATTTCTAATAGTTTGGCGACAAAAACGACCACATGTCATAGGCGCGACATGGATTTTTTTGACGAAAAATATGAAAAAATCATCATTTTTGGCTAAAATTTTGAGGTTTTTGGAAGATTTATGGCTTTAAAAGGTGAATTTTTTAGAGCGACAATTTTTTTTATTTGAAACTTAGTTTTAAAATTTCATTTTGATCTAAACTTGCCGAAAAAATTTGGGTCGTGCAATGAATTTTCCACAGTACCGTCATATTTAAGTCTGCACTGTGCAGTCACGTTTAAGGCTTGCACTGTGCAAAAGTAAAGTCTGCATCGTGCAAACCCCAAATTTATATTCAATGAACCGCCAAACTAAGCCTATTGTAAAAAAGACAATTCTAAAACAAAAGACCTCAGACCATAGACAATCGAACCCAAAGAGACCCCAGACGACACGAGAAAACCGTCTTCTGAATCCAATTTGTCGCTTCCAAAAAAGAACAAACAAACCGTCGCTTTCGCACGGTGCGGCACGGAGAAGCGCCTCAATTTCACGTGCCACTGAACTCGGCAATGTTTGAGGAAGAGGGCAATTTGGCGATAGATGATTGCGCGACAGAATTTCAATGCTTTTCGAGGAGATTCGCGACAAAGTTTGGGTAGTTTTTAGGTATTTCAGAGAGGTTTGAGGTAGTTATGGTTGAAGAATAGTGAATATTAGTCATATTTTTGGACAAATAGGTATAAAATTGTAGTCAAGTAGACCAGTAAAGAGGCTGTGTCGCGGCCTAAATTTTTGGCTAGACCCGGGCCTTTCAGATCTATATAAAAAAGCAAATATATCACATTGAAACACAATGCCAAGTAGCAAAAAGTTTAAAAAAAGTAAAATCTTTAATGAACTAGGGCTAAAACTAAGGCTACGGCCAAAACTAGATCATGAACTAGATCTACTAGTTAAGACTTGAGACAAAAATAGGGCTAGTGCTCTGGGCTAGAGCTCTGGGCTAGGGCTCTGAGCTAGGGCTTTGAGCTCTGGGCTCTAGGCTGGACTACTGGCTAGGATTGGTGGTTAGGACTAGAACATGAACTAGGGCTTTGGGCTAGAGTTCGAAGCTCTGGACTAAGGCTAAAGCTCTGGGTTAGAAAGTAATATTTTCAAGTACGGGTACTCCATCGCTCTCCTTTCTCCCTCCCCCTCCCCCCTTCTCTTCTTCCCTTTAACAACACCCCTGCATTTACATGATCTTACTACATACAGAGTTAGTAAAACAAATCTGAAGTCAGCTTTGCAGCTCAAGCATCTCTTTTATTATAAAAAAAAACCTAATCGAAATTCCAGAAACAGAAACGAAGCGACAAACAAAAAATAGTTGCCAAGCCAAAAGAAGTCTAGAGACGAGCAGCTGCCTTTAAATGGAAATTAAGAAACAAAAAAACTCGTCTGTCGCGACATTTTTGATATAAGTGAAAAAGAGATTTTTAGGTAACAAAAAGTCAGAAAATCAAATTTTAAAACTTTAAAAAATTTAAAAATTCTGAAATTTTGAAATTTAAAATTTCGAAAAAAATTTAAAAAAGTAGCAGTAGCGGTTAGTTAAGTCGAGTTTAACATTGTTTTTGACTTCGGAATGGCCTCCAAAAAACGCAACAAATTCAGCTGTCAATTTGAGAGTGCGCGACATCAACGTTCTCGCTTTGATGTGACCGCCATTCCGAAATGAATTTGCAATTGATAACAGTAATCAACAAGGTTTCTACTTTGAATTGAACTTTTTATTTACTATAGTAAGAAGAAGACTATAGTAACTTCTCTAACACTAGCCCAGAGCTCTAGCCCAGAGCTTTAGCCTAAAGCCCTAGTCTAGAACCCTATCCCAGAACGGTCCAGTCTATTCTAGTAAAGTTTTGTCTAGTCCAGCCTAACCCAGGCCAGCCCAGCATAGCCCAGCCCAGCCCAGCCCAGCCCAGCCCAGCCAAGCCCAGCCAAGCCCAGCCCAGCCCAGCCCAGCCCAGCCCAGCCCAGCCCAGCCCAGCCCAGGCCAGGCCAGGCCAGGCCAGCTTAGCATAGCCCAGCCCAGCCCAGCCCAGTCCAGCTTAACCCAGCCCAGCCCAACCACTTCAATACAGTAGAGCCCAGTCTAGTCCGCTCCACTTCAATTTACTCCAGTCCAGTCAATCGATTGCAACTCAGCCCAAACTAACCCAAACCTACCCAGTCATCCTAGTCCAGCCTTAACCAGTCTATTGTAGTCCACTCCAGCCCTTGCCCTAGTCTAAAACATTTAGTATACCATCTTTAGCGGAGTAAAACGTAAGAATTGCAACATGCCTTCTTGCCCTACGGGCCATAAATAACCCGCCGAAAACCTTGGATTCAAATTTGTCAAAACGTTTTTCTTTTGGCGTCGAGGTCGTGCCTCCAAATTTATGATACGCTACACTCAAGCGACGTCTGACGAAAGGAAAAAGATTACAAATTACAACAAGGTTAAGTAATCGGTAAGTAAGTAAGGAGGAGAGGGGGGGGGGTTAGTCTATTTTATTTTTTAAAAATCGGTTGGTCACTAAAAAGTCTTACTGTAGTTACAAGATTTTTCAATTAATTCTGTGCCGCCCCTGAACTCAAAAAATTTGTTTAAGAAAAGGCACAGGATTATTTGAACAGCTCAACATAAAAAAAACTGTATTTAAGCAATGGTGGGATGTAAGAAGAAGGGAGGAAAAAAAGAGGAGAGGGGGGGGGGAAGTAGTAAAAATATATTATAAACTGAAGTGAAGGTCTATGTAACTCTATATTTCTAATTTTATACTGAGTAACCCCCCTATTGTGTCTCCTGTTAGCTATTTATCTATTCGCTTATTTGCCATGCTGACCGGAATCGAACCTGCGTGGTTTTTCACGTTAGCGAAACGAATAAATCTCTTCATAACAACAACAGCTATTTTTAAATTGACTTTAAATTATATCTTTTTGGCTGAAAATTACACGCTAATTCCAAATTTAAAATCAGATTTTAAAAATTTTTATAAAATTTAAAAGTTATGACGCATTTTTTCGTTTTGTTGAGAAGAATAAAGTTTTGTCATTTTTTAAACACGTTTGGACGGTCAAAAACGACAAAACATTTTTTTGCATTAAACGACAAAACTTTTTTTTGGCGTTTAATGCAATAAAAAATGTTAAAAAATCAATATTATAAGTTTTTACCCAACCCCCTTCCCTCCTCAAAAATCTAGTGGCCCTGGCTCTACCCTACCCTACTCTACCATTCACCATCCTATCTTTGCCTATCGCCCTTACTTATCCTCCCTTACCCTACTCTACTCTAGACCACGCTACTCTACTATACCCTACTCTACCCTTCACCATCTTATCTTTCCCTTTTCTATTCTTACTTATCCTCCTTACCCTACTCTGCTCTACATTACCCTACCCTTTTTTCTGCCTTACCCTGCCTCATCCTGTCTTTTTCTACTTACTTAAAGTCAACTTATACTACATTATTTTTAAAAACATTGAATTTAGAGCCATATAAATTGTGAAAAACGAACAAAACGATCGTAAGCGCTTCAATCAATAGTGGAATAGTCTTAAAACAACGTCGGACTAATTGAATATTCAAAAAGTTGTGCACACTCGGACTGAATCATTCCCGACTCTTCCTCAAACAAGTCTTCATCTCCGCCTGATTGGCCATGATTCACCGTCCAAACTTGACTGCTCTCACTGAAAAATTGGCCTACTGAATTTTTCAAGATTTTTTTAAATTTTAAAATTTAAAAATTTTTTAGTTTTAATTTTGTTTTGTATAAAAGTGAAGAAAGAGTAGTTCAGAGTAGAGATAACTAGAAGGCAAATGTAGGTCATGGGTAAGGCAACAGAAGGGCAAGACTTTTGCAACGGTAAGGCAAAACCAGGTAAGATAGTGTAAGGTAAGGTAGAGTAGGGTAAAGTAGAACAAAGGGGGACAAGGCAAGAAAAAAAGACCAAAGGCAAGGCAAGAAATGCCACAGGAAAACCGAAGGCAAGACCAAAGGCAAGGCAAGGCAAAGCAAGGCAAGGCAAGGCAAGGCAAGGCAAGGCAAGGCAAGGCAAGGCAAGGCAAGGCAAGGCAAGGCAAGGCAAGGCAAGGCAAGGCAAGGCAAGGCAAGGCAAGGCAAGGCAAGGCAAGGCAAGGCAAGGCAAGGCAAGGCAAGGCAAGGCAAGGCAAGGCAAGGCAAAGCAAAGCAAGGCAAGGCAAGGCAAGGCAAGACAAAGCAAGGCAAGGCAAGGCAAGGCAAGGCAAGGCAAGGCAAGGCAAAGCAAGGCAAGGCAAGGCAAGGCAAGGCAAGGCAAGGCAAGGCAAGGCAAGGCAAGGCAAGGCAAGGCAAGGCAAGGCAGGGCAAGGCAAGGCAAGGCAAGGCAAGGCAAGGCAAGGCAAGGCAAGGCAAGGCAAGGCAAGGCAAGGCAAGGCAAGGCAAGGCAAGGCAAGGCAAGGCAAGGCAGGGGCAAGGCAAGGCAAGGCAAGGCAAGGCAAGGCAAGGCAAGGCAAGGCAAGGCAAGGCAAGGCAAGGCAAGGCAGGGCAAGGCAAGGCAAGGCAAGGCATAAACATAAGAAACGGGCCGGGCCTGAACAAAATTTTGATCAGGCCGGGCCTAACATTCAGGCCCGACCCGGCCCGTTCTTCATGTCTACAAATACAGGCTAAAGACAGAGCAGGGCAGGACAGCGCAGTGCACAAAATCAAGTCAAGTTTCAAACTTCTCAACCCAAGCATACCCACCCTATTCGACCCTTTTTCAACCCAAAACTAGTAACATTTACTAAACAAATGTTATGTTAACAATACTCCTACAAAACCTGAATGAGCGAACTTTTCTCCAAACTTTTTCTTTATTTCTTTTGTGTTTGAAACACATTTAAATGTGTCAAAAAGGGGAACGATGAATTGAATGACTAAATGGGTGATGCTTACAGAAAATACTTTGTTCACCACTGATTTGGAACGGCTTTGAAAATGGTGTGGCAGAAGCGGATAAATTGACTAAATTTAAAAAATTTAAGCCTAAATTAAAAAATAAGCCTAAATTAAGAAAAGATTAAAAAACCTAAAACAGGGTTAGGCAGGGTAGCATAATGATAAAGTACGGCGAGGCTTTTTAGGCTTTACCAAAAGTAGAAAAAAAGAAAAATAAGGAAGAGTACGGTGAAGCAAGGTAGGGTAAGCAAGGTAAGGTAACGTAGAGTAGGGTAATGACAAGGTGGGGTAAGGCTTTTACAAAAGCAAGGCAAACAGACAATATGATAGGTTAGAATAAGACAGAATAGAGTAAGGTAGAAGACGGTAGAATATAAGAGGGTAGAGTAGAATAAGGCAGGGTAGTGTAGGGTTTTATAAGCTTCCTTATTGTCTTTTGCTCCCTTCCCTGGTCTTCTTTAACCTTCTAAACAGTTATCAATTACCGTCCTTACCTTTAAACCCCTTAAGGCTTTTACCATTACCCTATTCAAACCCTCCCCCCCCCCTTAAACATTCTTTAAACTTTCTTACAGACATTATCACTCCTTCCCTCTAAACACCTTGAAGCCTTAAAAATTTCTTTTATCCCTCCCCCTCCACTCCCCACCAATCTTTAAACTCTCTTAAAGTCATCATTACTTCCTCCCCTCCCCCCCCCCCCCTTTAAACCCCTTAAAGCTCCTTGATTTAGCCCGTTTCGAAAACGACTTGGGATTCGGAGTAAAACAAACTTGACATGATTTCCTGATGCTCTTCTGAGGTCGTTTCCCCTCTCTCTCTGACAAACTTTTGTATATGTAACCATGTTTAATTTTATGGTTTTTGGCGAAAGGTCAGTCATTGAGGTTTGATTGGTTAGTGAAAAGCAAAGTGAATCGATTCATTCCAAAGGTTGGGATGATGCGACATTAAGTGTGTGTGGAAAAGTAAGGACTGTGACTGTGGGGTGGGTTAAAATTGAAAATGACAGTAAAGTTTTATCTCTACCTTACCCTACCCTACCCTACCCTATCTTACTTTACCCTACCCTACTTGCTTTTTTCTTGCTTGGCGTCCTATTAGGTTGTTCACATAATTCTGCGCCTCGTACTTTACAAATTTGCTTTGAGAAGGGGCGCAGAACTAAGTGAACAACCTAATACTTTGTTCTACCCTATCCTACCTTTCTTTGCTTCGGTTTACCCTGCTTTGCCCAGCCGCTATTTCTCTCCCCTCCCCTTCCCCTAATCTTCTTACCCTTCTTTTTCTTTTATCAAATCACCTAACCTCCCTCCCTCCTTTCAACTTCTCAATAACAAACTTTATGTTGAATATTAATAAATATTCAAAAAAAAAGAAGAAAATGATTGTACAAACTGACAAAACGACTGTTTCCAAAACGAGGATAATCAACACAGAGCGAGAGTTGTTTTGTATTTGTATGGCAATTCCAAAACAAAGTCAAAAGACTAAAAAAGTAACGGAGCACAGTGACTCAACATCTTCATGATAATGTAAAGAATAACTATAGTAATGTGTTACATAATAAAGAGAGTTATGTAGTGTAAGATAAACTTTAGATAATGAGAATAAAGAAGCGTAGAGTATGGTAAGGTATGGTGGTGTAGGGTGTACGAATATGGTAAAATACAAGACATGCTAAGCCACTATGTACTATAAAGCAAAGTAATATTCAGCAAAGTAAGGTATAATAAGATGGTAAGAAGAAACATAGTAATGTACAGTACATATATACTATAAAAAACAGAGTAATATAACCACAGTATTCTAAGCTCGTAAAAGCAAATATTATCATTATTATGAAAAAACAAAGTGACTTTCATAATACGATGAAAGTCACTCATTGTAGAGCAATAAACACAGAGTAGGCTGTTATAATTTGATACAACGGGAGTGGAGTAGGGGCAGGCAGACGGTGGAGTGAAGAGATGGGAGTGGAGTAAGCTCTGACGGCAGCGAATAAGAGAAAATAATACGAATGAACTGCGAGGAAGGGAGTTCATTAAGGGTACGGTAATGTGTGTGTACAGGGCCGGGCACTGAGGGGTGGGGGGGGAGGGAGGGAGG